TAATATTATCACTGTAATGAGCAGTCCCTGCCCTCTGGGAGTTTGGAGACCCTGTGTTATACACACATATGTGCGCACACGCACACACAATGATATAACTATAAAAGCAATAGCTGGCTATGATAGATGCAGGGAGAAAGGTGCTCTGGAAAAGCTGGATAGTAAATAGGTGTCTACTTGGTGAGGTGAGGCGGGTAGCAGAAAAGAGTCCTTCTATGTGGAAGGCTGCATCTCTCCCCTCCAAAAAATAACAAAAAGTATGCTATAGCAGGTGCCTTAGAGCATAGCTCCCATGCTTCTGTTATTCAGAATTATTACTGTTCATTTTTTTGCTGTTTTCCTGTGTTTTAAACTAACATAAAAATTTTGATAATACATTTCTTTTTTTGTTGTTGTTCTCAGTAGTTATATATGACAGAGAAAGCATTTAAACTCATTGTACATAAATGGAGCACAACTTCTCATTTTTTCTGGCTATACACCATACAGAATCACACAGTTTGTGCAATCACATATATACCTAGGGTAATAATGTCCATCTCATTCCACCATCTTTCCCACCCCCCTAAACCCCTACTCTTCCTAGCTCTCCCCATTATGGATCAGCATTCTCATATTAGAGAAAACATTTCTTTAGAGCAAGCTCTATATCACACAGATTCGAAATAATGTGTTTAGTGGGCTATTTTAAGATTCATTAAAATATTCACAGCTAATAGATGTGTGTATTATTTGTTTATTTTAAATATGTGTAGATCTAGAATCACCTCCCCAGACAGACTTCAGGGCACCTGCATTAGGGGAAACTTCTCCCAACTAAGACCAGAGGCCAAAACACTAGCAACAGTACCTTCTCTACATGTGGGCACTCCATAGTGAACTACATCTTGACACTCTTCATACATGAGGTGTGATTTTAAGAAAAGAGACCAGCTTCCAATTGCATTTACTTCTGGGCTCACCTCATATTTTCTATCTTTTCTCATTCTGGGATTTAGGGATTAAGGGGATGAAAAGGAACAGAGTTTTAAGTGTCAATCTCAAAAATTATAAAACTCAAACTGTAAAAATTGTGTAATAGACTTCATGGCCAGTTGTGACTGCAGTTTAAGTGTTGTCCTCTAAAAACCATATTGCTGAAAGAACCCTCCCAGCAGACCCCATTATGCTCAGTTGACCTCTGACACCTAGGAAAAAAAGTGTGAGAAGAAAAAAAATTGATTTCAGGCCATTAAATCCATGCAGAGAAAATCTCCTTATAAAAAAGTTACAGATGAACTCTTTTCTAAGAACAAACTAGTTTTAGACAAAACTAAACCAAAAGCAAAAGAACTGCTTTTTGTTTTTTTTTTAATGTCTGACCAATTCCATGTCTAGAATCACAGGTGTTGTGTAGCCAGAGATATTTTCACTTATTCAGCAAACATTTGTTGTATACCAATGATGTCCTTTTCTAGATACTAGAGTCCACTGGGGGAAACAGACATTAACAAGCCATTACTTGAGTGATGAATGCTAAAAAGAAGAAATATTAAGAGCCATGGGGAGCTTCCGCAGAGAGCCCCCAAACTGTGGGTGGGGAAGGAGGTAAGAAGATTTTTCTGAGTCAACCCTGTTTTCATGGGGAGCTGAAGGATGTGTAGGGGTTGGTCAGGTAAAAGGGAGGAAGGAGGTCAGGGAAGGGCTTCCGAAAAGAGGGAACAGCATGGATAAGATCATGGTTCCCTCAGAGAACTGAAATAAATCAGTAAGGGGGAAAAAAAAAAGACATACTTTAATTTTTCTTGCTTTTATTCTCAAGACTTGTTGATAGTACTTATTAGTGACTACGGCTTTAAAACCTCCTCTCTGGAAATCTTTGGAACTCAGGCTTTCTGAGTCACCTAATGGAGAGAGAGAATCATCACCTATCTCCTTTTCAGGATTAGTTTTCAAAACACATTAACTAATGCGTTTTAAAAATAGTCCTTCTAAGTATCAGTTGTTAGTATTGCTTGTCCCCTTGACTAACCTAACTACAGGACTTCTGTTTTCAGATTATGGTATATGATCAGAGTTTAAAGGGTGGTTCTCAGAGCCGTGGAAGAAAACTCATTCAAGTCAGGCTCTGGAGGAGTGTGCTAGATCTTAATATGCCTGACCTTCACTTTCATGGGCAAGTGTCTCCAAGTTAAGGAAGCGTTGTCTGTTAATGACAGAGAAGTGAAGCAATCATTAATAGACGTGACTGTCCCTCACAGGAACTGACTCATGTATTTTCAGATGAAACCATGGAGTTTTAGGGAGAGCCAGAAACTCAGAAACCTGTTTCCTTACCAGGAAAAATGTCGTCATCTCATCTGGTTTTTTTATTACGCATGATGTTCTCTATTGGTTTTTATGAATTCCTTTTAAGCATTTTTTTCTGTGAAGCATCATGGACTTCAGAATTAGTATTGTACATAACTTTGATCCATTTAACCTTTTCCTTGGGTGGAGTAGTGCTTTCAAGGTTCTCATCAAATAGCTAAGCCTCAGTTGTTCCTCATTGCTCAAGAAGGACACACAGGGTCAGGGTAAGTAGGAGGGGCAGTCATCTTTAATTCTCTGGAAGGTGAATTCCTTGAAGGTGCCTAGTATTTCTAGATATATACACCCTCTTCCAGCTTCCATCGCCCAGATTCCTGTAAGCCCAGGACCACCCTCTAAAGCATACCATCTCCAGGTATCCTGCCTCCTCCTAGGGGCTGGAAATGGGTCATGTTCCCAAATGGCAGTGAGTAGCCTACTCCCCAATCCTGATCAGCCTGTTTAAGAAAAATCCAAGACTCATAATGGCATGTCCAAATGTCTGGCCCTGCTACTTACTCACCAAATCTGTCCCCCTGGTCTTCCAGCCTGTCTGTCCCCTTGTCAAAGGCAATACAATATTTATTGTCCTGTCTGACTAAGCAGAAACCTCCACCAGTGAAACATTTCCCCAACTGTTTTCCCTGAAATTTTAGATGCAGAAATGTAAATATTAAATAGGCTGAAGCTTTTGTGTAAGTTAAAAAGAGATTGAAATACATAATGCCCATCAACAGAATAGACAGTATATTGGGATGTCTTCATTAGTGGACTGAATTGCAGCTGTGAGAATGTCTGAACTAGAGCTCAGGTGACAACACAGATCTTGCAAATATGGTGCACAAAAAATGCAAGTGGCAGAGCAATACCATACAGTGTTAAGTGCAGAGATAACTCATGACAATGATAAAGAGCATTCAGGATAGCAGTTTCTTCTAGAAGTGAGGAAGGGGAATGTGATTTGAAAGTGGCTAAATGAGAGTTTCATCTGTATATACTTAATCTGTTTAAGGTTTGTTGTGAATATAGGACTTGTATTATTCTCGATATTTTTGTATCTGAAATATTTCAGGATAAAAATAACTTAAAAGTGACAATTTTTTTTTTTTTTAATGAAGTCAGGGGCACAAGTCCCCAGCCCTTTTCATTTTTTATTTTGAGACAAGCCCTCACTAAGCTGAGGCTGGCCTCAAACTTTTGATCCTCCTGCCTCAATCTCCAGAATCCCTGGGATTACAGGCATGCAACACTGTACCCAGGTGAAAGAAATTTCATTTAAAAAAAAAATCAGTTAGCTCAAGGAAATATACTTAGGTCGGTTCTCATTTAGCCAAGCCCTCTGGAATTAAAACTGTTATCACCAGAAAGATTTTCAATTATAATTATTTACAGTTCTTATTAGACAGGAAAATAGATTTAAAAAATTTGAGAAATATTTCCTAAAATGTTATGATGAACTAAAGACAGGTCATAACCTGCTGGGTGTGTGTCACACACCTAGAATCCCAGCTATTCAGAAGACTGAGACAGGAAGGTCTTGAGTTCAAGGCTACCCTGGGTAACTTAGCAAAACCTTGTCTCAAAATTTTAAAAAATTTAAAAAACTTTTTTTTAGTTGTAGATGGACACAATACCTTTAATTAATTAATTTGTTTATTTATTTAATGTGGTGTTGAAGATCGAACCTAATGCCTTACCTATGCTAGGCAAACACTCTACCACTGAGTCACAACCCCAGCCCTCAAAATAAAAAAAAAAAAAAATTTTAAAGGGCCCGGGAGGGGGGGGGGGAATGTGGCTCAGTGTCAAGTATTCCTGAATTCAATCTTGAGTACCCTCCCCGCAAAATGGCTAGGGATGTAGGTCGGTAGTAGAGTGCTTGCGTAGCATATGCTGGGTCCTGAATCCCCCATACGGCCAAAAAAAGAGAATCATACACTGATTGCCTTTGGGTGGAATTGAGCCTACAGAGTCATTTTATTTGCCCTGCATGGTGCTCACATTTTCAGAAATAATGAATAAGCCTGTTTTGAAATTTATATTATTAAAATCTGGATTGCCACCTATTCTTAAGCTATAAGGCCCATCCATCTGACATCTCTTGGCCCTTGTTTCTGCATGTTAACAGCTGGCTGGAGCTGAATAGCAACTGTCCCCTTTCAGAGGGGTGTGTCCTGTTCAGTTGGCCACTGTCCCCATCCAGCCACACACCCTCACATATGTTGCCTGCCAGGCCCTGGAGGCACTTGAGTACACAACCTAAGCTTTAATTAGAAAATTCAGTTATTCCAAGTGTGTCTTCTAGGCACTCAGGTTCGTGATGTAATTTTACCACTAAAAGTATCATTTCTGATATAATCTGTTAACACTGGCTTTAAAGGGTAGTAAATGTGAATTTTGGTTTTGCCAATGTTTGCAAAAATGGCCCTCAGGGCAGACAGCATGATAGAGCAGCCCTCAGCCACGGGATGATGTTCAACATCAGTTAAGTTTGCTGCTGGTTCTGCCAAGCCATTCTGGCAATGCTACACAACAGATCTGTTGACAAAGAGCAGTATTTCTAGACTAATTAAAAATCTTGATTTTTTAAAAAATATACATCTGCCTAGCTGCTTTCTGTCAAATTGCATTTTTATGCAAATTTTTCCTCTTCTATTTTGGTGGGTCTGGAGATGACAACAGCAACACGACAGGAAGTTCTTGGCCTCTACCGCCGGGTTTTCAGGCTTGCAAGGAAATGGCAGGCGGCATCAGGGCAGATGGAAGACACCATCAGAGAAAAACAGTACATACTCAACGAAGCAAGAACACTGTTCCAGAAAAACAAAAACGTAAGTAGGCCTCCGTTGGAGATTGTGAGAAGAGGAGTTTCTCATGTTGTTCATTTCTTTTCTCTCCTAAATTCAGAGGACAGAGCAGCACAAATCAAAATGGTGGCGCATTGGGCAGGAGGGGCCTGAGCACAGTTTTACTAGCTTGCGCAACCGCTAGAGTTGAACACAGCCGTGCTGCTCTCTTCACTTGTTCCAAATCTCAGTGTGGCCAGTAAGTGGCTCAGTGTCCTCAGAAGACCTTATGAACCAGGTGACCTAAAGTCAGACCAATGAAAATTTTTAGAGGAAGAGTTGTTTGTCACATGCTGTGCCCTTTGCAAGCCACTCCCACAGGAGGTGCACACTGAAATGTTTTTTTCACTTTATAAACTAGTCATTGCCTCCAAATATAAATGTATTCAGAGGGAAGAGAATAGCATTAAGACACAGGGTTCCCTTCATAACTGAGCTTTGAACTTGAGCCTCTTTGGAGAGCAGAGTGAGGTTGCCCTTTGGGACCATAGAATTGAATAAAATAATGCCTCTATTAGCCAGTTTAACAGAACTGCACACCCAGACCCCAGGGAGCCAGATTTGATCCATTCCCAACAAGCCATAAGGCCTGAGCTCTGAGTTCCTTAGGGAGACCACAGGTGTTATGCATGGAAGGAGATTATCAGCTTCTCTTCAGCCTCGTTTGCATTGATCCAATGGATTCGTGAAACTTCCAATCTGCTCTCATACTTTTCCCTCCCTGAATCTTGAGTCTGTCTCTTTTTGTCCCTGCCTTCTCCACACTCCCTCCCATAAGCTATAGGGGTCCCCTGAAGGTCAGCCCTCTGCACTGAGGTCCATGCAACATGAAACCATATGTGGTTTCAGCCCTCACATCTGAATCCCTGGCCTTGGCCTCCGACCAGCACCTGAAAGGACCTCACCACTGTCTGATAATGCAGAGCAGAACTCGCCTCCCCTCCCCACTTGTGCAATTGTTGTAGCTCCTGTCACCTCTCAGCAACTTTTTGTTCTTATTCCTCATTCAGAAAGCACTCAAGTGCCCAGCATGTGCCCAACACCAGCTAGACATCAGGGATATGAAAATGAGCAAAACCAAGACAAGGTCCCTCAAAGATGTTTCAGAGTTAGGTGGGAGGAAATACTAAATTACAACCGAGACAAGTGCCTCCAGAGAAAACCTCCTGATTTTCCCTTTTTGGAATCCCTGAAGCCTCCTTGCCTTTTAAGGTTGAGTTGGTAATGATGGCTCCCTCTACTTTTCTGACCCTTCTCCAGCTTCTCCAAACTCTTTCTGCTTAGTGTAGACCAGGCTTGCCAAACCAGGGTTGTATTCCCCATGAAGTCCTTAAACAGTCCTCAAAGAATAGAAATAAAATACTTCAGCTGATATTTTTGTTTTTTCTATTTCATTCTATAAAAAATGTCTGTTTTGTATATTATTTATAATGAACTTATTAGTACATATATATAGATGACCCCTAAGTATTCAGTAGAAACTGTACCTCAAATTTTGAGATATTCATCACTTCATTATAAAATATACATTGGCCAAGCATGGTGGTGCAAGCCTGTAATCCCAGCAACTTGGGAGCTGAGGAGGAGGATTGCAAGTTTAAAGCTAGCCTCAGCAACTTAGCAAGGGCCTAAGCTACTTAGCAAGACCCTATCTCCATATAAAAAATAAAAAGTTGGGGCTGGGGATGTGGCTCAGGCGGTAGCGCGCTTGCCTGGCATGCGTGTGGCCCAGGTTCGATCCTCAGCACCACATACAACCAAAGATGTTGTGTCTGCCAAAAACTAAAAAATAAATATTAAAAAAATTCTCTCTCTCTCTCTTTCAAAAAAAAAAAATAATAAAAAGTTCTGGGGATGTGACTCAGTGGTAAAGAGCCTCTGGGTTCAAATTCCTAGTGCCACCAAAAAAAATAATAACAAAAATATACTTATGTTAGATGATTTTGACCAACCCTAAGCTAATGTAAATGTCTCAGCTACATTTAAGGCAAGTTAAGTTGTGAAGTTCGGTAGGTTAGGTATGTAGTATCAAATGCATAATTTTCAACTTACGATGGGAGAATCTGGAATAATCCCATAAGTCAAGGAGCATCTATAATTTATAAATTTATAAACTAGTACATTTATAGATTGATAAAAAGTACATATGGGAACTATGGGCTCAGAATTTTTTATTGTAAGGAAGAAGTGGATAATAAAAAGTTTGGAGCCAAGTGCTATGACACATACCTGTGATCCCAGCCACTTGCCAGGCTGTGGCAAGAGCATCACAAAGGCCAGCCTGAGCAATTTAGCAAGACCCTGTCTCAAGAGTTAGGGGTGTAGCTCAGAGGTTAAATGTCCCTTGGTTCTATCCCTGGTACCACAAACACACACAACATGTTTGGAGACCCCAGAGTTGTCATATTCTTTTTCCTTCTTTGTTTCATATATGTTAGGTTGGTCTTCCCAACAAAGGTCAGTTCTAGAGCACATAGACAGTATCGTACACTTCTCTCATATCCCATGAGACCTGCCTTGCGGTTTTCACTGAATTAATGAACATTTAAATTTTTTTTTAATTTTAATTTTTTATTTGTTCTAATTAGTTACACATGACAGCAGAATGCATTTCAATTCATTATACACAAATGGAGCACAACTTTTCATTTCTCTGGTTGTTCATAATGTAGAGTTGCACCATATGTACAGTCATACATGTACCTAGGGTAACGATGTCCATCTCATTCCACCATCTTTCCTGCCCCCATGCCTCCTCCCTCCTCCGTTTCCCTTTGCCCAAAGTTCCTCTATTCTCTCCCCACACACAAATCCCCCATTATGGATCAGCATCCATTTATCAGAGAGAACATTCGGCTTTTGGTTTTGGGGGATTGGCTTACTTTGCTTAGCATGGTTGAATTAATGAACAATTTACAAATCATTTGATTCAGTTGACCTCTAAGAAGTTTTCCTCAATTTTTCTGCTTCTCCTAACCCCACGTTAGCCACTACTTTGAACAATAATAGTCTGTAGCCATCATTGCCCTTGGTTAATTATATACGAAGGTCCCTTTTTTGCAGCTTTATTTTTTAGAGCTGTTCTGCACAGATAGTAGCCTTAATAGTTGAAGGCAGAGATTATGATCCCACAATGTCCAGCCTGGTGTCGGGGAGTATCCTAAGATATGCCCACTATATCTAGGCAGGCTCCCTCATCTGAGAACTACTCAAAGCTATGTTTTCAGGTATCACGGTAATCCTACCTCTGCTTGGATTGGCCCAAGGGGTGAGCCAGTGGGAGATGTATGTGCCACCGATGCTACATGAAATTATTTGAGGGTGCAGAAAAGAGGTGCCCTAGTTTCTAATTGTAAGATATGTACTAGCATGTACTAGGGGGAAAAGTAGCCAAGGTAGAATTTCACAAATACTACTGCTTAGGAGAGAGTCCACTTAGAGAAAAATTTACTGTTAGTATAGGTGGTGTGTGGATATGGCAAAATCCTGCAGGCAGCCCATGATTGGCTGAATTTGGAGTACTCTGGCCTGAGCTTGTTCAGATAGACAGCTGATCTCCAGAAGATCCAGCATACTTCTCGGTATCTTTGTCAGGGGTTTTTCCTTTTTCCTTAATCCTTCATGCAGACATAAGCAGTTTCTTGTAACTTTAATTGCACTAAGAATTTAATAATCCAAAGGTATCTCATTAATTGCTTTGAATCCCAATGGGCAGATGGGAACATGGAAATCTGTTCCCAATGTGGCAGCAGAGCAGTAGTTTCTGAGAAGCACAGAGGTCAGACAGTTGAGACTCTGCCCCAGAGGACTTGGTGTGCCTCTCTGTTTCTGTTCCTGGAACTCTTCCCCTCTGCTCCAGCAGGCACTGTAGGCAGGAACTCCCTTGGAATTTCCAAGCCACATGGGCCCAGACTTCACTGTGGGTGTCATCTGGGGCTGATGCAATCCTAGCTCTACTCTGGGGCCACTTGCAAACTCATAGCAGATCCACTTGTTGATTCATTTTCCATCCTAGAATGAAATAGTTTCTCCCCTTCTCCTGTTGGGCTTTCTGTTTTTTGGAATGAATTTTTCATCCCTTTACTTGAAAATAGACTGTCACAATTTGACTAATTTGAGATTTTGAAACTCTCTGTTCCTCTTACTAATGAGCAAAACAATTTACAGTTCTTGGGGATTTTGTTTTGTTTTTGTGGTACTGGGGAGCAAAGAAATTGCCGTTTAAAACAAGAGGTAGATCATTCTCCAGTATCTTACTGAAGGGGTTTCTGAGTAGCACTGGATGAAAATTCAGGTTACTTTAATGTTAATCAATATAGAAAGGTGTTAAAAGCACTTTTTCATTCATTGTTGATGGGAATATAAATTGGTGCAAACTCTAGAAGGTAACTTGGGAATACTGTGAGAATTAGAAATGCCTGAGCATATACTTTTACTTCTAGCAGTTCTTTCTCTATAAATTCATCTTTTAGCTATATTTGCATCTGAGCCAAAAAAAAAATTTTCAGAGGGATCTTTAGCAGAATTGTTTATGGTGACAAAAGATTGGAAATTACCTAAATGTCCATCAGCAGGATATTGGTTAAATTATAATAAAATCTTATGTTGGAATTTTGTATAGCTTTTATAAAGAATAGGACAGCCCTATATTCAGTATGAATATAGAAAGAGCTTCAAATTATGTTAGTGAAAAACAGGGCTTAAAATGAAGTGAGCTATTGTTTGTGAAAGGGAAAAGCCAAGTCTCTACATACATATGGGCTTATATATACATTGAATATCCTTGGAAAGACGCAGGAGAAACTGTTGGTAAATTATCTCTGAGAAGGGGAATTGGAAGACAAGGGAAGAAGGGAGACATGGTTTTTTCATTATATCCTTTGATATTATTTTTTAGCATGTATATGTATTACCTCTTTTAACTATTTTAAAAATTGAGTCCACAGTAAGTTTTAATATTAAATTGCAATATTTAATATTAAATTTTAATATTTAATTTTTCAAATGATCAAATATTTTTGTGCTAGGAATCAAAGAAATTATCAATATTTAATTTACTGGCTAGTAAACTGAAAAAGGCTGAGAGCGCATGTGTACCTATACTTTATGAACATTTAGAAAGATGCAAAAATCCTCACTTGTTTTCCAATTTTGATAGCTCACAGACAGAGACCTGATTAAACAGTGTATAGATGAATGCACAGCCAGAATTGAAATTGGACTACATTACCAGATTCCTTACCCAAGGCCTGTAAGTGCAACTCCAGTTAACAGGTGGGGGCTACCTATCCTTGTTGACCCAGTTATTTCTAAGAATGTATACCAAGCTACTGTAGGAGGCATATCCTTGCATGCCACCTAGAGTGTCAATGAATGCCTGGTTTCTCCTTCTGGTACAACTTCCACACATATGGGAGGGGAAAACAGCTCATGTTTATATAGTGTTCTCTTTTGACCTCCACCTTTTTTATGAAAATCCTTTTACTTTCCTTATTATAAAAGGCAGGTTTGTTGTTACTAAAAGAATAAAGTTCAAACGTTAAAAGAATACATAAGTTAGAAAGTAAAAACTGTCAAAAATTCTCACCAAAATCCTGTGTGGTAATAAGAACTGTAACTATTATATTGCAACACATGAAAATGACAATATTTGGTCTTTGACCTAAAAAAGCAGCAATTTGATATTGTATTGACTCAATCTAATCATTTGGTGATACATCTTTTAGGTTTTTTCCTATACATTTCTTTACATATATGAGATTCTAGGCATACTTATTTTATTATTGCCTACTCCTGAACATTTTTTGTTGTTTTGGGTTTTTGTTTATTTTATTTTGGGGGGAATATCAGGGATGGAACCCAGAGGCACCTAACCACTGAGCCACACTTCTAGACAGTTTTTCTGTTTTGTTTTTTGGGTTTTTTTTTGAGACAAAGTCTCATTAAATTGCTTAGGGCCTCACTAAATTGCTGAAGCTGGCTTTGCGTTCTCCCTGCCTCGGTGTCCTGAGTCACTAGGATTACACACATGTGCCACCATGCCCAGCTCTTCTGAACATCTTTGTATAAAGCTCTACCTCAATCTTTTTAAATGGTTACGTTGTATACTATTGTAGGATTGTACCCTTGTATTAGGGTTCTTCAGAGAAACAGAGCCAGTGGGATGGGTATATATTTGGACAGATTTATCTAAGTATATATAAAAGAAGATGTATTATGAGGAATTGGTTCACACCATTATAGAGGCCAAGAAGTCTCATGTTCTGCTTCCTGCAAGCTGAAGTCCCAGGAAAAAGCCAGTGGCAGAATTCAGTCTTTGTCTGAAGGCCTAAGGACAAAGTGGACTGATGGTATAAATCTCAGTGGGAAGGCAGGAGAAGATAAGATGTCCCCACTCAAACAAGGCAGACAGAGAGCAAAAGGGGAAAATTCCTCCTTACTCTGCCTTTTTGTTCTATTAGGGCCTTCAGCAGATTGGAGGACACCCATCCACACTGGGGAGGGAAGTCTGCTTTACTACGTCCACTGATCCCAATGCTGATCTCATCAAGAAACACCCTCACAGATATATCCAGAAATAATGTTTGGTCTGGGCCAGTCAGATTGACAAGCAAAATTAACCATCACAGCCATTATTAACTAGCTATCTACTAGCAGGTTGGTCCCAGTTTTCCACTGTGCACTGAATATCTTTGTATACACACTTTGTTTGTCTTTCTCTCCCTTTGGATACCTTTCCATCTTGCTGAGTGATCTGTGTTCACTGTTTTCTATTTAGATAATATGGTAAAGAAGAGCACAAGAGCTGGAATCAGACAGGTCTGGGTTCAAATCCTGGTTCCCCCACTTAATGTACAATCTTGAGCAAGTTAGGATGTAATTTCTTTGAGCCTCTGTTTTCTCATGTATAAATACTGGAATAATAATTTCTTATGATGTGTTGTAAAGGTCAATGAGTGAAGAGATTATAAACATGAGTCACTGGTAGATTTAGCACTTAGCAGGCAGCATAGTAGGGAGTAAATCCTCAATAAATATAAGCAGCAGCAATGATTTATGAGTATAATTCTTAATATCATCATTATTCTTATTGTTTAGATTCATCTGCCTCCAATGGGCCTTACGCCACTACAAGGCCGGGGACTTCGAACCCAGGAGAAACTGAGGAAACTTTCCAAACCAGTGTATCTCAAGTCCCATGATGAAGTTTCTTAACCAGAAGTCAGTTTATTTCCAAGAATGATGAGCCATCTCTGTCTTAAATGGAAACCAGAATACAGCACTCTTCACCTTGATTAGGGACAAAAAAACAAGCTTCTTCTTAGGACCTCCACAACTAGTCCTCATCCATAGTATGTGTCTACACATCCCAAGGGTTTGTTTGGGTCTTGCTGCCTGAGCAGATGGCATTAACCCTAGAGGTCACTAAAGTCACCTTTGGAAACAGGTGGGAGGAAAGCTGAAGGTGATGAAATTTTTCATGGGAATGCTGTTTGCCACACATCAGCCAATGCAAAGCATCAGTTGTTGGTATAGAAGTTCTTTTGGCTATTCAAAAACTATAAACTCCTTCAAAATATTTTTTTAAAGGAGACTTATTTTTTGTACTGGTAACTGGGATGTTTTACCACTGAGCTACATACCCATGCACGGCACCCACCTTCCCGCATTCTGTTTGATTTTGAGACAGGGCCTTACTAAGTTAATGAGGCTGGCCTCAAATTTATGATCCTACTGCATCGGCCTCTTGAGTTACTGGGATTATAGGCATGTGGCACTATACCCAGCAAGCAAAATGTTATAGATTTACATAAAAGTGGTTGTTTCTGTGTGAGCTTGTTTATAGTCTTGTGACCCTTTCAATATCCAGATGAACTCCCTTTAAAAAGTTAAGATTGATCATGGTGTTTCAATATGACCATAGAAATTTTATGTGACACCTATGCCCCCCCTCCCCATACACAAAAGCTCATGCCTTAGTTAAATGTATGTTTATCTTTGTATGTGTGTGTGTGTGTGTGTGTGTATGTATGTGTGCACTATACATGTGTGTGTACATGTGGTATGGTACTAGGGATAAAACCCAGGGCATTCTACCATTGAGCCACATCCCAGCCATTTTTATTTTTTGAGACAGGATCTCCCTAAATTGCAGAGGCTGGCCATGAGCTTTGTGTTTTTCCTGCCTCCACCTCCTAAGCCGCTTTGATTGTAGGCATGTTTACCTTACCTTAGAGCCTTCTCTTAAAGCCATGATTACTTAAGATGCATTTGGATCTGAAGAGCTTACTAGAAATTCATCCTGCATTCAGGATGAATTTTTTGACTTTAACACAATTGAATAATACAAAGTCTGAAATAGCTTTCAAGTATGTCCAAGCATAAATAAGACCAATAGAAAGGAACACACAAAGGATTTATATCTCTGTGTGGAGTCAGGTGAGAGTCCACATTAAGACATTTGTATATCACTATAATTCTCTGTTACCTCCAAAGAGAGTTGGAGCACCAATAAAGACAAGTCTCTACCAATTTTGGTCTCTTTGTATTCTTTCCAAAATGGGATATGATGACCCTCAGAAGCAGCTGATGAAACTTACCTCCTATGAGCAGGAACATACTTTATCATGCTCAGGGTAAGTACTACAGGGTTTGGCAGTGATATGCAGAGCAGCTGTGAGTAATAGCATATGCACATGCGTACTTAACACAAATGCAGCAATAGGCCTTTGGTACAGAGAGACAGAAATTTTAATGTGCTGGCAGGCATAGTGGCCATTCAGTGTGCAGTGTCCCAGCCGGGCTTAAATTGGGGGATAGAAATCTGCCATTCTTTCAGTCACTTTCCTTCATTGGGTCTCAGTATGGAAGCATCTCCCTGCCTAGAGTTGGTTCTAATGTTTAAAGTATTTCCCATGCAACATTGTGTCTGTGAACTCAAGCCAACTGCTTCGTCTGGTGGTCGGCCAATTAGACAGTGAGCTGTACTCACACTGGAGGAAGAACTGGCTGTGTTGCCAAGTGGGCTACGGCTTGTCCATCTCCCTCATGCTCCATTTTTAAGTAACTTGACTAGGTATAATTTTTGCCTTAGTCCATTGAATGTAGAAACCACCCTTCCCACCCAGCCTCTCCACAAAGTTGATTTAATTGCTAGCCAACCTTTGAGGACCTTCTACACCACAGAAATCTTACCTACATTTGAATTTTATGTCTAGCCTCCTTTGCAAAGATGCATATACTGTTGCACAGCCTTTATTGTCAATGTATTGTCAAACCTTCCATGTAACTTTTAAAAATTTTGGTACTAGGGATTGAACTCAGGGCCCTTTACCCCTGAGCTAAGTCCCCGGCACTTACAATTCTGTATTTTGAGACAGGGTCTCACTAAGTCACTTAGGGTCTTGCTAAGTTGCTGAGGCTGGCCTTGAACTTGCAACCCTCCTGTCTTAGCCTCCAGAGTCTCTAGGATTACAGGTGTACACCACCACATCTGGCTTGTTTTTATTTTTAATATGATTTCTCCCCATTTTCTTTCCAAGACTATAAAAAAATCTTCAGTCTTTTAAAAAAGTACAACCTAGGGCTGGGGTTGTGGCTTAGCGGTAGAGTGCACGCCTAGCTCGTGCAAGGCCCTGGGTTCAATCCTCAGCACCACATAAAAATAAATAAGAAAGATATTGTGTCCAACTATACCTAAAAAATAAATATATATATTTAAAAGTACAACCTACCTTCCTGCATCCCCTCCTTTAATGTAATTTTCTTCCATCATTGAGATGGACTGAACATAACCAGCTACTCAGCAGCTAGGTTTTCAAGAGCAAGGTCTAGCTTGGTGGCCAGGTTTGTCTGATGTCATCTATGCAGCTATTTATACTCAGGGCCTGCTGCTTCCCCCAGAGCTGACTTCTGGCCATCTCTGGCCTAGGACTGCAGCCTCTAACTCACCATGGTTTCTGAAGAGCATATTGCTTTTTCCCAGGAAGAGACCTTATTACCACACTGGCCCAAATTGAAAATGACCTCAAATTTAGGGCAATCTTTGTTTTCAAAGTGGAGGAAAGATTTTTTTTTAATTACAAAAATTTCATCCATCACACAAAAAACATTTTGTCCCTTGACCCCTGAAGAATGAGAGTCTCTGCCTCCCTCAGCTTTTTGTTGCTGGAGCTGGAACTGGATAACTGTAATTAAAATTCTGTTGTGCTCTTAGCAACCCCCTCTCTGACAGTTCTTTTACAGATGGCAATGTGACTTACCTACCAGTCCCAGATTCTGGGATGTGGGATTCTGACCATCTTTCCATCTCACGTGTCTGACCAGGCTACTTGGAATGGTACAGCAATTCCAGCTATCTGTGCATTCTGATTTTTTCCCTCACTGTAAAAAGTCAGGTTTCTTCAGAAAAAAAATAGCTATTAAGTTACCTACTGCAAAAGCTAGACCCTAGCTCTTCTTCATGGTTTCTACTTCCTCAGTGGCAAGATTTGGAGAACAAGGGTGTGCTTAATCTCTTGGGTCACCAGGATGATTTGCTGATCTCAGAAGTCAGATTCCTCAATTAGAATTTGGTGCCATAAAGGAACTAAAATGGAAGTTTTCTGAAATATGTTTATTGGTTCTCAGAAACTTCCCGCATTCAGGAAAAAAAAAAAATTGAAGACCCTGAGTCAGGACATTTGTTTTAGTGAAGAGGATCCTGGCCAGATACATTAAGACTCAAATAGCTGTATGTCTGCTCAGCTGTGAAGTGACCAATAGAATACCCTGAAAGAAGCCACTTAGAGCCAAAGAGCCACATGAAAGGGTTAGTGAAGACTCACTACATTAAGAATTCAATCTTTTATCTCCCTCAGGATTCCCTTCCAGCTGGCCTTGGGGAGAAACAAGTGATTGAAATTTCTTGGCAGTGTTGTGTAGTTGGAGCTAGACATCTCTTCCAGGAGTCTGTATCAACACAGCCAAGTCCTTAGGGAGGTAGCATGTGGCAAATGCATGGGTTCAAGAACCAGACAAACCTCGACTGGAAACCTGGTCTGCAAGTATGAAAAACCTGGATGATCTCAAGCAACTTACTAAATTCCCCTGAACCTCCAGAGGGAGAGTCAGTCATGCCCAGCCTACAGGATCAAGTCTGAGGCCTGGGCACAAATCTTGGTACCCAGTAGGTGTGCAACAAATATGGTTCTCTCATCTCTCCTTTCTTCCTGAAGCTTTAGTTCATCTGCATGGGCTAGTCGGGAAGCAGCTGGGTCCTAGTTCTACCACTGACTATGGAACTCTGTCTATAAAATAGATAATAGCCACCACCTAAGATCATTGCAGGATATATGCATTTTAAATCTATCAAGAGCCTTAGCAAATAAGAGTATTCCAAGCCCCTAAGGGGCATTGATGGTAGCCCTATAGATAGACTAGGAAAGAAGTGATTCAAATAAAAAATAATTACGAGAGAACTTAAGTCATATGACCAAAAGTCTAGGTAGAAGAATTCCACTGCCTGTGTTTTAATTCTACTTTAGTGGCTCTGATCTGGGGGATACCATCTACCTTTTCCATATCATGGTTTCTGTGGCCATAAAGTAAGCCCTGCCATATAGGGCTGCTGTGAAATATCTGGCTCAGCTCTATGATCATTGTTATCATCACCACCACCACGATCATCATCATCATCTAATGTCTCTCAAGAATAAAATGGCTTTTAGTAGAGAATAAAATGGCTTTTACTTTGTGCCTTGAGATAAATGCCATCAGTTATCCAGCTGACACAGCGAGGCTACCCCTCGGTTTATCCAGTGCTTCTGGGGCATGTCTGTTGGGAGCTCAATGGAGAGGACGTAGTTGGTGGAGTGGCCTGTGGTGGAGAGGGTACCTCTCCGAGCACTTGTTTTGTAGACTGGACACACATAAATGTTCTGATGCAGAAATGTTGAACTCTCCCCTGGTTTCAGCCAAATGATGGGCAATGGGTCATAAAGGATTTTGGGGAAAGACTCTGCAATCTGCATCCCTATCCTGTCCCAACGGGCACCTTCTAGGTAAAGTCCTTTTATGTAGGCCCCATCTTCTGGGTTCCTCTCCATGGTTGTTTCTTGTGCCGTTACCTGGAAGAGTGGAAAGCTGTGAGTTCCATAACCTGCCATTTTCCTATGTGAGGTAACAATAAGAACAACCTGGCTGTAATCCCTGCATCTGCCAGGAAGCACACTGAAGGACAACAGGGCTTCTGTGATATTTCTGCCAGCCTTATGGGAGCCAGGTCTGATCCTGGTTAGGCTTGCTGTCCTTGTATATTCTAAGCATAGAGAATGTGCTCAAGGAGGAGTCAGAAGGCCACATTAACTGTAGCTTAGTAACCTTCCACAATCCTTTTCCTTTTTGGACATGGATCTATGAAGTGAAGGGTTAGCGTCTGACTCAGAGGCAGGCTGGTAAAACAGTTCTGGGATGGGGGTGGATAAATGAATTTATAGTTTTTTGTCAGTTTTTGTGGTGTACAGACTCCCACCATGGTTGGCTTCAGGCTACCAACTAAGCTGGCTCACAGAATCCCTGAGAATGTAGTAACTGGCTCTGGTAAGTTGGTATGAATGAGCTCCAGCATACCACTGTTTAGATTAAGAAGTGGTAAACTCAAATTCCTTCAGCAGGTAAACAGAAAATGGTCCAAGTGTAGGATAATAGGGAGTGGTGGGGATTACAGTGAACCAGAGAACACAAGCTCCATTTAATATTCTAATTTTTTTCATTATGAATGGAATGTTTCCCCCACCTTTTTTTTTTTTGGTACTGGGGCTTGAAGCTATGACCACTCAACCACTGAGCTACATACAGTCCCAGCCTTTGAGACAGTGTCTTGCTAAGTTGATGATGCTGGCTTTACACTTGTGATCCTCCTGCATCAGCCTCCCAATTTGCTGAGATTACAGGCCTGTACCACCAAGCCTGGCTTTTTTTTCCCCATTTCTAAGGAAGAAAACAGGGTATTAACATTCCCAAGGGTATTAACATTTCTCCAAATAAAGAGTCCACCATGTTGAACAGGCTGCATGGAAGGATGCTTTCATATTTCTTGGCACCATGGTGACAGAAGTTTTCTCAGAAAAGATTCCTTTTTATACACATAGAGACAAAGCCCTGGGAGTCCCCCATTTTGTAGAGAATAGCTTTTGGAGTTACTGTAAGTCATGCTAAGCATTTCACTTGCATCTCAGAGGCATTTGGGCCTTAACATGCCCAATGTTTGGATTTACAAGGAAATTAGGCAATGTTGCTTTCTCTGGCTGGTCGCTTGAGAGGTCCTCACCCAGAGTGCCCTTACCTCAAACTCAAATCCAATGTGGTCAATAGGGATGGTGTATTTCCGGGCATAATTCTGAGAAACACCGGTCAAAAAAGACTGTGTGAAGTAGAATCCAGAAATCCAAAAGACCACAGGGGGCCCCTTGTCAATCCATTCCTGTAAAATCAACAACACATCAAAGATAGTTCCAAGGCAGAGAACAGCAAATGAGTCCCACAAAGAAATATTCTAATTCTCATTTTCCTTAAATTGTCGGTCCTCGGTTTAATTTATATTTTCTCACTTTTGAAACGAAGATACAAAGAAATATGTTGGAAACATATGTTTGTTTGTTTTTTAAAGAAAAGCACAGGTGCAAGCTGCTGTTAGGGACACAATACAGAGTGATGGGGAGCTTAGCGGGGGGGTATGTGTCTTGTCTGACTAAGCAAAAGTCGCTCAGCTCCTGTGAGAGTTGCCAGGTATGAACACAGGCACGTTGTTTCAGGTCTTCTGTCTTTTGTAGTACAAACATCTATATATTTTTTTCTAGCAGTGGAATCTGAACTCAGAGTCTCTCATATGCTACCACAGAGCTACACCCTGCAGCCCCTACGTTTGAGTTCTTATGTGAAAAAATCCAAGTTCACATGCTAACTCAAAAATTTTAAATGACCAGGTAGCCATAACAAGTGTATCCATTAGCTAAATCTGTCCCATGAGCCACCTGTTGATGATATTTATTCTAGTCCCTGTTCCTGCTTCCAGATCTGGAAAGAACATTTCTGGATGCTCAGCCTGGGGTATTGCATGGCTGCCTGCCTTACTCCCCTACCTCTGAGCTGCTATTTCAGAAGGTCCTGTCCACCTGAACAAGCATGCCAGGTACCTAGTTACTCTGACTCCCAGGTACCTGAAAGAAGGCCAGGCGGGCCAGCAAGTCAGCCACGTAGCCCCCCAAGGGCTTCAGCGATGGGTAGGACTTGGCAGCCCACATGGCTGGCACTTTACCCACGAGCATGCTATTAAAGACTTCCTCCAGCTCCGAGGACATCAGGACCTGCCCTTTGATGGCTTGGCCAAGATCAATGAGGCTTCTGCGAACCACTTTGGTCAGTCTGTAAGAACAAAAGATATGGCTGAGCCTGGGTTTCCAGTGGTCCCATTCTAGCCAACTTCACTAATTCCAGCTTTCTTGCCTTTAAAAAGTCAATGAACATACAATCCTTAATTGATGGAAAAAAATAAACCTCCCATGACCTCACCACCTAAAGATAACTTCAATATACATCTTTTAAGATTTTTTTTCTATATAATCACAAATCATTTTTAATGGGTTCCTCCCATATCACCTTGTTTTTTTGGGGGGGCTACTGGAGATTGAATTCAGAGGTACTCAACCATTGAGCCCCATCCCCAGCCATATTTTGTATTTTATTTAGAGACAGGGTCTCACTGAGTTGCTTAGGGCCTCACTTTTTGCTGGGGCTGGCTTTGAACTTGAGATCTTCCTGCCTCCGCCTCCTGAGCTGCTGGGATTACAGGCGTGCACCACCGTGTCCAGCCCCATTATCACCTTTTTGTAATCTTTTCTTAGAGAAATCTTTTCAATTCAATAAAATAAGAGACCTAAATTGTCCTTTCTTTTGACTACAAAGTGTTCCATTTTATTTATTCCCCTATCATTATTATTTCTAGACTATTGTCATTGTAAACAACATTGCAAGGAAAATCCCTGCATATCCATCTTTGTGCAAATTTCTAATTATTTTCTTAGTAAAAGAATTTTGGGGTCAAAGGGTACATGCAGTTTCAGGGCTTTAGATCCTCAGTGCCATCATCGTTTTCTTTATAGATTATGAGGTACACACTTGAGAAAAAGCAAGTGAAGGGCAATCTGCAAATACCAAATCACCTGCCTCTCTTTCTGGTCTCTGTATTCTGAGGCTCAGCCCAACCCACTGGAAATTCGGCTGAGGATGCCAAAGAATCCACCACTGGAAGGAACCTGTCATGTTCAAAGATTCATCCGATCTCAACCCAATGGGCAAAAGAATGATCAAATGTCAAAAAGGGCCTTTTGGCTGTGCGGCCACTGAGCATTATGTCAGGAGGAATCAAAGGTTCAGACACTTGGTGCTTGGGTAGGCTGAGGGGTCAAGGAGCACAACTACCACCTGATGGGTCACACCACGGATCACTGTATCCTTCAAGGCCTATTCTAATAACTGTGAACTCTACCAGTTTAGAAGTTTTAGTGCTTAAGAACACTTGTGCCAGAAGACAAAATAATGGCCCCCTGGGCTGGAAGCTGATCTGTTACCTCATAGTTTGGATTTCCCATGCCACTAAGAGAGCAGGCAAAAACAGGTAGTGAGGTGGGATGGTAGAGTATTGCTGAAGGTGAAGACTGCTGTGACCCTGTCCTCTTGCACACAATGGCCAGTGGTAAAGTCTGGTGATGGCCCCTGCAATCACCAAGAACCAGCTCCAATGGCCTTAGGGGAGAATGGGTAGTTGTGGAGGAGGGAAGCCATCAGACCTGATTGGGCCAACAAAGACTGCAGCCTACTGTGCCTAAGCATCTGACTCACAGCAGAAGTGCTGAGCATGTTCTTCCTGGGTATATATCCCATACCTTGCTTGGTCCCCTATGTGGCCAACTGCCTATTGACTCTAGAGACTAACCCTAAGATTACACCAACCAGGAAGTTCTCAGATGACATTTCTCCAGGACCCTAGTCCTCTAGAGCCAAGACTGTCTCTAAAACTGAGCTATGGCCCTGTGAGGCAAAATGGAGATAGCAACACAGAGTGTGGAATAAGAAGGACCTTGGAGGTACAGGTGATGCGTTTTAGCCCACATAGTTCTGAATTGGTTGAGACTTATATCAAACACTGGCATGTCTGGGCCTCAGTTTCCTTTTCTGGCCTACAAGGTCTTTGATAACCCTTTTGTTTTGAATGTTTAGAAGTCAAATTGAGATGACTCACTGGGATTTGTACTAGAGTAGCTAGAAGAAAAATGAGATGGGATTAGAAAAGGACAGAGACCCTTGGCCTCATGGCCAGCCCATAATACCTCAACTTTGTAGAGGAGGCAATGGGATTTTACTTACCCTGATTTTGCAATATTGGTTGAGTGCACTGGCTCTGAAATCAGACAACCTGGGTTCAAATTCAGTTCTGACATGGAATGCCTGTGTGATCTTGGGTAAGCTACTTAACTCTTCTGAATTTCAATCTTACGTTACAATGGCCATTAGTAAAGAAGTGCTCCAGTGACCTTATGGGAGACTGAGTAGTAGAGGAGGGTGGCCATCAGGTCTGGTGTCAGAATGCACAAATGAGGGCTACAGACTATCATGCCAAGGTGCATTTTCTCATCTGTAAAATACTGGTACAGGATTAGTAACTGCACATTCCAAAGATTGTGTGTGACTTGAATGGGAACCACGCATAGTGCTTGGAACCATATCAGGCACCAGGGGCTCAAAAACGTAGCTCTGATGATTGCTTTTACTATTAGCCTGTGCTTGGTTTCAGTTTGAACTTGACTATAGATGTCACATGAATGAGTGGGAGAGAATAAATAGGAGTGATTTAACCCTAGGCCAAAGCACACTGGGGATGGTCCTATGGGTGGGGCAACCATGTTTATATAGCAGCCCCTTATTGAGTGTCAATCTCAGCTGCTGCTCATTAGATCCTACTTCATGCTCCAACTCCCAGGATCCGACAAGACCCTCTGACCCACCTGTTGAATCTGATGAGCTCCTGCCTCAGGACAGTGTTCATGGATTCCTCATAGACCACAGGATACAACTTCACCACCTCTTCCAGGTCAAAGTCTTTGGGAAGCTTGGAGAGTATGTCCTGGGCCAGTTCCTCAACCACTTCCTTAAAGTGCAGAGAACAGAGGTGTAGATGAGAAATAAGATCTGCTGACTGTGGCTTTATCAGCTTAAAATTGACGTAATGAGCATTTTTCCTTTTTAAATATATTCTATCCAACCTTCCTGGAAACTCCCCTTTAGAAACCAATTCTGCCTTTGGGGGTAAGGTGGGCACTCATTATCCCATTAGACTTGGGATGATACACACCACCCCTTTGCCTAAAAAGTGAAAATGCTGAACCATGAGCTGTTTGTTCTCATACCTCGAGTAAGGGCCTGAGGACCAGGCAGGGAATTCCTGCTCAGCCAGGTCACCTCCCACAGCAATGAACACTCAAAAAACACCCTCGTCTTCAAGGTCACCCCTGGGTGAGAATTTCCCACAGCACTCTCAGCCAGCTCCTAAGGACCAGCTGGTGCAGATGGGCTGTTTCTCAATCCCAGTGACACTTGGGAAGGCAGAAAGTCATTACTCAGCATTGAGAAACAAAAGCCCAGGGCTTAGCCAAGTAGGGAAGGGGAGAGGCTTGGAAGACCAAAGAGAAGTTAAAGACTGGATGTGGAAGAGCTGCAGTTCTGCCACCCCCTGGGTCTGGGAGGCTGGAATGTGACTTCTTTCCCTCTTCTTACTACAGGGACTCACCACCTCTATGTTGGGCCACATCAACAAGGCTGGTTTGCCCTCATGCCAGTGCCACTTATGGCACCACAAACCCCATCACAAAACCCAATGAGTGAGGTTCCCAGCTGAGAGGGGCTGAACATGTGGCAGTTTGGAAGGCAGAGAAGGGAAGGGCAGAGTGGGAGAGAAAGAGAATGGAGGTGGCTCCAGTTCTGGACCTGGTTCTGTCTCTGATTTTACAAAGGACCTGGAGCCGGACACTTCCTCTCTCAGGGTTCACTTACAGAGTGGGTGAGTACTTCACAAAGTCTGCGCTGGGACCAATAGAAGTACCCAGAATGATTTTAGGTGTGTCCACGACATTAAATAATGTTGAATTACATGATTATAAAAATCACTCCCTTTGCAAATTTTAATCATCTTTCCCTTTTCATTCCTCTCAAGTAGAAAGCCTTGGATTGGTGCTAATTTAGCAATTCAGGAACTCTTGCTCATCTTCCCTGTTTTAACGAGAAGCCAGAAAGGGCTCAGCTCCAGGGCTTTGGGCGTCCATAGCATCTGGGAAGAACTTAACTGTCGAGCTTCCATACCTACCTTCCTCCCTTTCCCCTTCCCCCGCCCCTTCCCTTCTTCTCTTCCTCCTCCTCTTCTCTCCTCTCCCTTCCTTCCATGTGGATCATAACTTTAAAGAAATTATACTAGGTTTCCACTCATGGCTCTGATGTACAGGTTTTCAAATAAATGTTTTTAAGCAAAAGAAAATTAGGTTTAAAATATTACATAAACTGTGGATAGGTGATACGTAGATACAGAAAAAAAAATCACGAAGGTTATATAGGAATAGTTGACATTTTGGAAAACCTGATCCTCTTTCAGCTCTGTATTTAAAGATCCTCCACAGTAAGAGCAGAGCACACCCCCTCCCTCAGGGGTCTGCCAGGTCCCTCTTTTTATGTCTTCTTGGTCAACAGCCTGGGAGACTGAATCACGTCTCCTCCTGAGCAGTTACCTGAGGGGACTTTCCACTCCCTCCTGACTGTCTAGGGAGGGTCAACAGCACCCCTTGAAAGAGCTGATTGGTTTCCTGATTGTCCTTGGTGATGTCCGCGTTATCATGGAGGCCAAATACTTCTGGGTAGGCTGTGATGGGGAGGGTCCTGATATAGCTGATGTAGGACTGGAAAAGAAATCTTGAGTTGACAAAAACGCAGTCTCATGAATGACTCAGGGCTTGGCTGGGCCAACTGGAACAGGAGGCTCACTGTGTCAGGAATTTGCCCCCCAACCCAAGGCTGGGGAAATACATCATAAGCTCTTCTTCATACAGTTTTCTGGTACAAGTATGAAAGCACATGGGCAAAGAAGAGCTTCCCTCCAAACCCCAAATTCCTCTCTGTTCCCCATGTAGTCCTGATTTTAAAGTTATAGAGCACAGGGTTCAGAGCCTAGCTATAGCTCACACTAACTGTGCAACTGTAGTCCATCATCTGAATCCCAAATTTCCTTATTTGTAAATGGGAAGACAAAAGGTTATAAAGAAAGGCAGCTTGGGCATATGACAGGCAACTGATAGAAGTACTCCTCTTCATCCTTCATCCAGATATCTTGTTCTCATCTTACCTATTTCATTCTCCTGTGCCCACCCTTTACCACCTTCTGAACCTTGTTTATAAGCAGCAATTAACAGCAGGTTCACAACCAAAGCTTCATCTTCTCATCCTCATCCTTCTTCCCCTCACCAAAGTATGGCAGATGGATGCCATACTTTGAAGGACCTTGTCTACCAAATACCTAGCATTTGTTAAACAGTGACAACATCTTTCTTGAAAGCATCTGGAATATTGGAAACAGCTTATGGATCCAAGTAAGGAAGCCCAAGGCCACCGCTGTAGCCTAGTCATAATATAGAGACTACTGAGTCCCTTTGGGGAAAGAGGTGGGTCATTCTTACCTGGTAGGGGCCATGGGGAGGGATGTAGTAAGTCTTTCCAGGAGCAAGGAAATAATGGTCCTCCTCAACTTCCTTACAGTAGAACGTGGACAGTAGGGACAGCAGGAGACGCCTGTCTTTGTCATCTGTCACTCTACCTCCATAATTACATTCTCCTGGGAAAACCAACAGGTGAAGAAGTTGAGCCCAGGGAAGGTCATCATGAGCTTGGTCAGAGGATGTGACAGAGGATTAAACAGAGGATCTTACTGGCCAAGAAACCCTATTGGAAACACAGTGCAGCTGATGCCATGTTCAGCTCGGGATGAGAAGGCCATTTTGGTACTATGGTTGCTACGAAAACAATATTCTCCATATTAAAAATTTCTTAGAAAATAAAGACAAAAATAAAATACAATCAGCAAAAATTCCACCAAAGATAACTATTAATGAGGCATCTTCCAAACTCCCCCCCCCACCACATATCTGTATACATCTATGTGAAAGGCATTACAAAAATTGGGCTTAGTACAAGGAATTTGGAATGAGACAGTCTACATCTCTAGCACATAACAATAGTTTCCTGTTGACAAAAAGTAGAGATAAAAAGAATTAGGTGATTCTTTGGAGGGGACATCAAATCCAGTTCACCAACCCCAAGATGCATTTTCTAGCTTGCCTAGATACCATAGTACTGCAGTATGTGGTGTTACCTGGTATTTGGTAGTTGGGGTTAACAAACTAGGTTAAAAGGAGAAGACATGTATATATGTATGCATACAAGGACACCCTGGAGGGTGGGCTCATTCTCAAATTCAACTGTTTTAGGAAAAGATAGGTTTGCAGACAGGAGAGAGGCTTCAGATTCTCTTGGCCCTGACTTGGAGGGGTGTAGTGTGCAGATAGTGGGGTCTGGGTGGCTAGTTAAGGGAGATGTGAGGGACAGGAGGAAGCCCATGCAGAAGCTGTTTTACCTTAAGCCAGCTAATCTAGCTGTCCACAGCCCTGTTGATGTCTCCAGGCCTACAGCAAGGTCAGTTTGAACATGGCAGCTTGTTTCAGTGCTGAGTAGGTTTACAACACACTTGAACTACAGCAACAAAGGGAGAGTGGTTTTCTTCCTGATGAAATCAGTGTGGCAGTGTTCAAGGGCACCCAGAGTTGTGACATGAGGTCCCACCACCACTTCTTCATTGTGAATTTTCTTCAGGGGATACCCCTGCAGGATCATTTTATGTTTATGAAGGAATGTTCATTACTTTATATCTACATACCTGTCTTCTTTTTGTAGCAAGAACAAAAGTTCTGAGAGAGGCCAAGATGGACCTTAGATATCTTCTAAATTGTCCCTGTTGCAGGGATGTATACCAGATTAAGAATGGGTGACTTTAGCCCCTCTGATTTGACCACCTTTCTAGAAAAGACCTGACTCTGGTTGGTGTTGGTGGAGAACTCTAATGATCACCTACATCTGGTTCTTATTTCCTGGGTCCTTAAGAGTAGAGTAGGGCCAAGTGACACATTCTTATACATTTAATTGCCAGTGTGAGCCCTTCAGTGCTATCTCTGTTGAAGTATTTGTCAAGATGGTAGCAATAAAAATCAGTGGAGTATATAAATTACCTATAAATAGGTAATTATAATGAGCAGAAACCATTGTCGATTTGCACTGGACATGTAGAGTGGGCAAGAAATGGACCTTTGATGTCTTTGCCTTTGAGCTTTGGGGATTGTTGCTTCAGCCCAAGTGGCCTATCCTGAGTGGCACTATTGGAAGTGGACTACCCTCAAGCTGGCTGGCATAGGCAGGGCATGTTGGTTTGTACCCTGCATGTGGTCCTCCACTAAGACCGCATTCTAGGACAATAGTGCACTTATTCTATGGTCCGACGGAACCGTTGGTCCATGCCATGCTTCTGTGTGGCACAGAATAATGGAAACATGACCAACTTTGAAGAAGCTCTTCTATCAAACTAAGATCCGCTGTACTTGTGCCGCTTGTGTCACATGGGGGTTTGTTTTAGGGGACACTGTACTGGTTAAGGTCAGCATGGCCTTCTATGACTGAACATAATCTCATGTAGGTTTTTCAAACTCGGCACTAGTAGCATGTTGGATTAGTGAGTTCTGTGTTTGGGGGGAGGGCTGTGCTCTGTGTTGCAGAATGTTTAGCAGCATCCCTGGCCACCACCCAGAAGATGCCAGTAGCACCCTCTCTTTAGTTGTGACAATCAAAACATGTCCAGATGCTGCCAAGCGTCCCCGAGAGGAAAAGCTGACTACAGTTCAGAACAACTGCTCTAAAGCCTGTCCCCCACTCAGCTGTAAAATGGGGTTACTGACGTGAAGTTTATAAGATTGCTGTGAATACTCAAAATGTGTAAAGTGCGTGTCATTGCTTGGGGAAAAACCAGACAAACTTAACACATGGACCTGAAGGGGAATTGTGTGTGATCTTGAGATGCCCAAGTCTTCCTATAAAGCTGAATTTTGACGTGTGGCCATGGTATTTCACCTCTATTTTATCTCCTATATCTGGGGTTATATTGCATATTCCTTGAAAGTAGCCACCAACTTTTCTTATGCCTCTGCATTCTTTTGTATCATACACTAGTATGTATTGGGTGCCTAGTAAAAGGTTGCTGATGCCGAGCAGATTACAAATTACATCTGTAATCCCAGTGCTCATGAGGCTGAGGCAGGAGGATCATGAGTTCAAAGCCAGCCTCAGCAGCAGCCAGATGCTAAACAACTCAGTGAGACCCTGTCTCTAAATAAAATATAAAATCAGGCTGGGGATGTAACTCAGTGGTTGAGCACCCCTGAGCTCAATCCCTGGTACTGATGAATGGCTTTAATACAAGCTATCTAGGAGGGTGCCCACCTCAGGACTCCTCTGCAGGAAAAGCTTTCCTTCTTCCCATTCCCCTTTCTTCTTCCGCTTGTCAAATTCCTGCTCATCCTTTGAAACCCAACTCTTAAAATTTTCAGAAAAATTTCCACGATTACCCGCCTCCAGTCCCCTGAGATTTCATCAAATTGGGATGCCTTTCTGCCTTACAAATGTTTTTCTTACAGAACTTATCACTGTATTATCATTAATTTGTTTATAATTTCTACCTTTGTAGCTTGTAGATTGGCCATGGAGATTTTTCTGGTTCCTGTTTTTTACTATATCGAGAATGATGACCAACATTAGGAAGAGTTCAATGCTGGTCGAATGAATGAATGAGGGAGGGGTTGAATAAGTCAATGGAGACAGGAGCAAAGGGTAAATATGGTTCTGGAGGTTTACAGCAGCAGAGCCCCTCCCACAAATACCTGTCAGGTAGGTCAGAGCTTCAAATGGCACCTCCTTGTAGTCATTGAGAAACATCTGGATCTGCCGCATACTGATCCTGAGGTCAGATTCGTTGAATTCATAAGGAATATTCCAACCTGCAAGAGGCAGAGAAGAATTAGAGGCTTCAGTGCTGAGAGCTCTTAATTTCCACTCAGAGACTGAGCCAGTGGAGTTAAGCATCATTATGGATCAAGAGCCTTTTCGGCCCTATGAATATCCAGCCCTGGGCCAACTATTAGACTTGACATTTATTGCCAACGTGGGAGCCATTCTGCCAGAGAAAACATCCATTCTAAAATCAATTTCCTTATGGGTCTCCCTCTTTGTTAAGGAAGATGTTAACATCCTGGGATTTGTGGAATGAGAATTATTCAGCCTGGCTGCGGTAATTCACAGAGCTCCAAAAATAACACCAAAGTGTAGCTGAAAGCAGTAGCGATGACTTCACAACAGAATGAAATTGGCTTTGAGATGTCCCTTCCTTGAGCTTCTGGGAGAACTGGATGGTTAAAGAAACTGCCACTTGCATTTCCAAGGGTCAATGATAACACCCACTGGGACTAGATGATGACATAAATGTATGCACAGGGCCTGGTGTATGCCAGCAGGGTGTGGTGGGCCCTGTGCCTAACCAAGGAGTTTAATTTCCTCCTAAAAATTCACATTCAAATTAAAACATAACAAGATAATAAAATTCATGTTCTGGCAAACAAAGCACATTGGGGCAGTTGGTTCTGAGCCAAACTGTTGCATGGATTTCTAGAGGCCTGGCATGAAAAGAGGTGGTGGGAGAAGGTAATGGCTGACATTAGATGCAGAGGGAGCTTCCTTCACCCTCCACCCTCCCTAGAAGAGTCATGTGCCATGTGGAGCTAACTGGGGCTGGCCAGAGTGCAGGGGTTGAAGAATAGGAAGTGGATGCTCTGAGAAAATCACCATTAGGACAATTTGTCTCCTTATCTAACCCAAAAGGACTGTGGGGAATACCCTGTGGTAGGTCATTTCATGGCTAGTGAATAGAGTCAAAGGCAGGCCATGGATGAGAGAAAGGTAATTCAACTTGAACACCACAACAAGGGATTTGTATATAGCAGTTTGACAATCTGCTCTAACAAGATTATTTATTACTTGTAAGTTACGCCAAAGGTAGTTTACATTGATAAACACATTTGTTAATAGTTTTCGGGAAGAATCATAGACAAATGTCCCTGATGAATCCCTGTCTCTCATTGTCATGCACATGTAAAGAGAGCTATCTAAAATGTTATAAGTCATCTGGTGACAACTTCCTGGAGAATGGTCATTGTGCCTAAGATAGACAAACACAGGCCCAAGTGAAGAGCCTGCAGTCCTCCTGTTATCACATTACTTCAGTAGGTATCGGCTTCTGATTCTGGAGCATGCCTTTTTCCCTCACATTGACATTAACGCGGTTATTGGATTGCCAGGTTTAGCAAAAATATAGGACACTGAGTGAAATTTTAATTTTAGATAAATAACAAATAAGAAAAGAGTATAAATATGTCCAAATTATTGCACAGAAGAGACATGGTTTTTCTGGTCATCTGAGTGCAAAGCTGAACACCACCTGTAAGTACACCTTCATCTGCCTGTGACCCTTCCCCCGGGCAACCCAGATGCACTGCCATGGCTCACCTAGGGGTCCAAAGTTCCTCCTCTCTTGAACGATGGCGTGGAAGAAGCAAAGGCCAAATAACAGCTTTTGCCACATGACTGGCTTGGTACAGCTTTGGAAGAAAGTGGGGTCTGAGATGGGGTCATTGAGGTAGGAGCGCAAAAGGTTGGCCCGAAGCCCTTTTGGGGGCTCATTGGTCATTTTGATCCCATTCTGGAGAATGCTAACTGGAAACTTCTCTGATGGATAGCTGGTTAACCAGAGTCTGGAAAAACAATGGATTCAACTACTGAGAGCAGTACAGTAAGTTATACTGAAAAAAAGAGCAAATGATAACAGCTATCATTTATTAGCACCTCTAGATGCCCAGCACATGTGAGAATTTATATGTGTCCTTTGAACCCCTTCAACCCTGACAGCCACCCAATGAGAGATATTTACCATCCCGTTATCAGTGAGGAAACAGAAGCATGGAGCAGTCAGGTGGTCTTTCAAGGACACACTGCTTAGAAGTAGCTGCTGTGCACCTGGGACTCTCTGACCCCGAAGCCTCTGCTCTTAAGCCCCTTAATTGGACTTTTTTTTGGTACTGGGGATTGAACTCAGGGGCACTTGACCACTGAGCCACATCTCCAGCCCTACTTTGTATTTTATTTAGAGACAGGGTTTCACTGAGTTGCTTATTAGCACCTTGCCTTTGCTGAGGCTGGCTTAGAATTCATGATGCTCCTGCCTCAGCCTCCCAAGCTGCTGGGATTACAGGCGTGTGCCACTATACCCAGCCTTTACTTGGACTCTTTGAGCATCAGTTTTAGATTAAAGTACAATACAAGGCACCCTCAAATCTACTCTATTACCTGTTTTTGCGTGGCTTTTTTTTTTCTTTTCTTTTTTTGTACCAGGGATTGAACTCGGGGGCACTCTGTCACTGAGCCATATCCTCAGTTCTATTTTGTATTTTATTTAGAGACAGGGTCTCACTGAGTTGCTTAGTGCCTTGCTTTTGCTTAGGCTGGCTTTGAATTTGCAATCCTCCTGCCTCAGCCTCCCCAGCTGCTGGGATTACAGGCATGCGCCACTTTGCCCGGCTCTATCACCTGTTTTTGTAAATGAAGTTTCACTGGGACATGGATAAGCCCCTTCATCTACATCTTGTCTATACCTGCTTTTACCCTACAACTTCAGAGATTTATAGTTGCAACAGAGACAACATGGCCTGCAAAGCCTAAATAATTTACTGTTTCACTCTTTAGAGGAAAAGTGTGCTGACCCAAATCAAATAGGAAATGGTATTTAAAAGGGGCCCTGAAACTATGGGAAAGTTTTTTCTTTAAAATGCAATTTTTAAATTTATGTCCACAAAAAGTGGGAATATATGTAAACATGTTTGGAAGAAAACAGAATTTGTAATTTTTATTCCTGTAGGTTAACATTTGTATACATTGCTCTCCAGGCTTTGATTAATCTGGTTTTCCTATCCAAGCTCAAATCACCCATACACCATGGCATCCTGTTTTTTATTTGTTTGTTTGCTAGACATTACAGAGATTGCCAACAATTGGATTGCAGATGGGTGGTCTTTAGAGATACAGGACATAGGCTGAGCAACCATGTGAATGAAGGGAGCTGGGATGTGGTTAGGCTTGGTGGGCAGCTGGCAGTGGTCAAGGCACTGGGCTGGGAGACTAGAGGAGGGGTCCTAAACCATGGTTTAAGTCCCGACTTCAGTTGACAGAGGGGCAATGTCTGGCTCACACCATTTACATTCAACAGTGTTGTAACACAGTTTTGAAGTCGTTTCCCACTTTTCACAAACTAGGGCTTTCTTTTAAAATTTTAGATCTGCAATTTCTTTTTTAAATAATCAGAAAACCTACTACTACCACAAGAAGCCTGTATTCCTGCATGAGAACAATTAGTATTAAGCAGTAATACCTCAACAAGATTAATTTTTTCTTCATCAAATGTCATCAACGGCCCACGAATCCACACGCCATCCCAAACCATATAACGTTCATGAAACTAATGGACTTCCCTTCCTTTGAAAGCTTTCATGACTGTAGTAAATCAACGGTGGGTTTAACGTGACTTTGTAAACAAGCACCACTTCCCTATTTTCAGGCAGACGTGAGCAAAATGAAAGCAACCAGCAAGCCGGGTTGCCTAAAGCAGGGGGTCAGCAAACTTTTCCCTCAGAGGACAGAAGAGTAAATATTTCAGATCTTGTGGGCTCACCCGGTGTCTGTCTCAACTACTCATAGCACAAAAGCAAACACAGACACTATATGACTAACTGGGGGTGTTTTTCAATAAGACTTTATTTATGCCCACTGAAATTTGAACTTCACGTAATTTTCATGTGTCATGAAAGATCATTCTTTAGGCTCCCCCCGCCACCTGTTTAAAAATTAGACTGCAGGTCATATCAAAAACAGGCAGCAGGCTGCCTAGCCTAGAATCTGGAAAAGAGACTCCCTGAACATTTTGAGTTGGTTCTACTCTTCATCCCATGAATAGAAAAACTGAAGTTCAGACTTGCTGGGCTTTAAAGTTCACAAAAACCAAATCGCTGTTTCCAACGTTGATTAAAATTCCATGAAGCCCCCAAAATAGAGGATAGAGGAATGGCAAATTGTGCCTAGACCACAGGTAGCATGTTTTTTAGATCAATAATATTCAAAATAAAATCACTCTTGATGGCATTTAATCTAACTTCCTAGACACTTCCCCAAATAACTTCTTATAACAACTTCTTATAACATACACCTCAGAGTCATTGGCTAACCTCTCAGTATTCCCTAATATTCCCTATTTGCTTTTACAAACGCTGTCCCTTAGGACTGGGATCTCCTTCCTGGAAAACTCCTACTCATCTTTAAAAAACCAGGCAATCATCTGTCCTCCAGACCTTCCCCCGCTGTCTTGGCCCTCTTCTGTGTTCCGTGGTTCTCGATCGACTATTGTATGGTCTCCACGTTACTCATCCATGAGTTCTTTCCCTAGACTGAGCTTCTGAGGGGCAGGAATGTGTCTTTCCATCTTTGTATCCCGGGCACCAGTATGCTACCAGGAGCTCGAGGCTGGGTCCCAAAGACAGGCAGGAAGGGGAGCGCATCATCTCACCTGAATCTCACGTGCGTGCTCTCAGGAACAATCACCTCCTCACAGATCTTCTCCAGTGCAGGCATCCAGCTTGTGGCCAGGTGGCAGTTCTGTAAGACCACCCAGGTCCCTTCTTTTATGGCGTTGTTTATCATTTTGGCAGCAATAGGACCTTGGCCTTGGCCAAGGGAGATGGTCTGTGTTTTGGGACCTCCCATGCTAAGGTCATCTGCAAACTTCAGCAGGCCTGAGACCAGGAAGAACAGGGGGTTTGAAAGAGGATAGGCCAGTTAAGCCCATGTTGCCAGTAAGGAAGGGGACATTTAAAAGTTTGGATTCACAAAGAAACTCATTGACTTTTTTTTTTTTTGAGGGTCTCAATATTTTGCCCAGGATGGCCTCCAACCCATGATACTCCTGCCTCAGCTCTCCCACTAGCGAGACTAAGGTGTGTGCCAACACACATGGCTTTCATTGGTTTCCATTAATTACAAAATAAATATCTCTCTGAAAGAGCTTTAGACAATCTAGTAAGATGGCAGATGAAGGCTTTTGCTCTAAATGTGTACACATTCTTGCTGTAAAAAGTGTACAGACTGAAAAAAAAAATCAGGGCTCGAAAGAAAGGGAAATTGTTAGGTGCCAAAAATGAAGAGGAAACTCAAAACTGGAGGTGTGCATATCACCAAACAAATAGAAACTGTGTTTTTATGAATTTTAGTAGGAAATATAAGAAATTACATAGTGAGATTAAGTCTTTTTCATGACTCTCTTCCCCAGGGGTAGCCAATGTTATTAGATTTGTGAATCCTTCCAGAGATATTTTATGCACATACCATTAAATTATATGGATTACAGAACATTTTGCTTGTTTCACTTAATGATGTATCTTATAGTTCTTTCTCCTATCAGTATATATGTAAAGACCTTATGCTTTTTACTTTTCTGGAATAGCAAGACATCAAATTTAAAAACCATAGAAGAAAGACCTATACACTTGATTAAAGTCTTTATGCTTTATGTCTTGAAAAAGTATTTTTGCCATTGGAAAAATACCATGTTTTATTTAGCCAATCTAGAGGGTGAAGTTTTGACAGGGTGGGAAACTTAAGCTTTGAACTCCTAAGAAATGGGAAGCTGGAACTGAGACGTATGTGTGCACCCCTCAAAGGGCTGTACTTCAAGAAGACCAGAAATCTGTCTACTAACTTACGGAAGTTTGTCACTGATTTGGAGCTTGGGTGAAAAAATATAAGCAACAATTCTCTGGTGAGAAATCAAAACACTGAGTTCAGACCACATGCAGATGAGGGGTATGAATTCACAAAACCTTCTGGTAGAAAATTCTCTAGCTGAGAAATTTTCCATGAAATTGATCCAGAATGTCAACACCCCTGGGGACCCATGTTTGCATAGAGAAAGTTGTCCTGTTGGGACACTCCTAAAACCCAAAGTATTTGAGACTTCTACAAAATAACACAACTTTAATTATTGTGGACTCACTTAAAAAGACACAAACTACAGGAGGAAGTACATTACTAAGAGGGATAGTCAGCACACAGAACAATCAGATTCCATAGATTCTCTGTGATAAGTAAATGGTGTCCCTCCCAAACTTATAAGCTGAAGTTCTAATCTCCAGTGTCTCAAAATGTGACAGTAATTGGAGACAGGTCTTTCACAGAGGCAGTTAAGTTGAAGGCAAGGAAGCAATCACAACCTACTGGGGGGTACTGGGGTTGTAGCTCAGTGGTGGAGTGCTTGCCTAGCACATATGAGGCACTGGATTTGATTCTCAGCACCACATATAAATAAATAAATAAAATGAAGGTATTGTGTCCATTTACAACTTAAAAAATAACTACAAGGGTTATGTGAAAAGTATGCAGATATGAAGGTGCTTCCACAAGCCAAAGATAGAATAATATGAGAATAAAAAGAAAATGACAGCAGTGGAAACAAACACTAACATATTTGAAACATAGAATATGTTAAAATCCATGCATTCACAATGGTATAGAAAAACCAGAGTGGATCACTGTTCACTTCAGAGATTGCCAGGGCGTCAGTTCAATATTATGAGTGCTGGTAAATAAAAAGAACCAAGCATCCTTTCTGCCCATCCTGTTTGGACTATTCAGAGTAAACCCAAGAGTTGACAAGGGAAAAGAGTTTCAGCTAATGAATGTGGAAGGAAGAACAGAATTAAAATATCACCATTTCACAGCTTCTAATGAAATAATGGATCTTGGTAATGATTTTCAAAGGCTGCTGAAACCATTAAAGTCAGTGGTTCCCATCATTGATTGGACACTAGAATTTCCTAAAAAGCTTTGTAAAACACGATGCCAGGGTTCCACCCTCAAGATTTTAATTTAATTGGTCTAGTGTGCATTGAGATCTCTCTGAAAGCTTCACTAGGAGGGACACAGAGCCAAAGAGGTTTCCTCTGAAGTCATCCAAACTGAGTCTGAAAGGGTCAGAGATTGCTCCCTGGCAATAATCCCTTGGTGCTCCCAGGAACCTGGAGCCTGTTCGTTTCAGCTCTCCCCTCTGCCCTCCTCCCGGCAGCAGGGTGCTGCTGGCTTTCTACCTGGTGAGGGTAACAGCCAAACTCCTCAGCTCTCACAGGAGAGGGTCAATCTGTCACTTGTGTTTCTTGTACTCTTTCTTCATTCAGCAACAGAGAAAACTAAAGCACTGAGAACCCAAAACCACTCTATTCCTGTCAATGACTCACATCCTTCTGTATCACGAGATAGTCTGGAAATCTTGGAATCGTGTATTTCTGGAAAGTTACACAAATCGGGTAAGGGGTGGTTACTTCTGGGAGGGTGAGAAGAAGGATGTTCCTACACTCCATGACGGGCTTTCTCGACCTTGGCAAGAGTGATGTTCTAGACGGGGTCATCTTTTATTGTAGGAACTGTCCTGTGCACTGCAGGCTGTCACGCAGCGCCCTCAGTCTCTGTCTTCTAGATGCTAGTAGCATCTCTCCTTCCAGTTGGAACAACACAAAAGTCTGCATGTGTTGTGCAAATGTCCTCCCTGAGGAGGCAAAATCCCCTTGCTAGAGCCATAGTCCTATACTTTTGTGCTGTTTGATTTTTTTAAACTATATGCAGTATTAATTATCCAAAAATATTTTAATTAAATAAGCCAGAGAATATTAAGACAAAGATAAGCAATTAGCAGTCAGCAGACTGAATCTAGCCCTAGGCTTGGCCCTTGCAACATTTTTAGGAAAATCAAATTTGCATGACTTACCAAGATTTTAAAATGGGTCATTTCTACATTTCAGGTCTCTCATGAAAAATCAGATGATCAAGGTGATTCTGGGTTCATCTTCCCAGATGGCACAATTCCCTGGGTGCTGATTAGTGTTACCCTTCTAGGCAGGAAATGAAATATTCACTCATCTCAGTCCCTGAGGTGGTAACAGGCTAAGGTGACTGTTACTGGCTGGGCCTTAATTAAGCCAGGCAAGTTTGTGATCCCTGCTATCAAGGACACACCCCTGTCAAGCGTCTACACATTCTGGGCTTTTGAGATTCCTCATATAATATTGTGTTCTTACCTGCCATGGGGTCTGCACCTGGAGACAACACGAAAATCAATGGTGCACAACAACTGGAATCCTTGTAGGATCCCTGGAGATCAAATGTAGGGGCTTCAATGTACACCTTTCCCATGTGATCAGAAATGAACTCCCGAATGGCCGGGACTATCTTGTCAGGCCGCAAACATCTGAGGATGACCATCCTGTCTAGTCCTTGGAGGGACTTCCAAGGTCCAGGGAATCTCTCTTCATGGGGCCAGGCTGAGTCATAGATCATCTTCCACTCCTTCGTATTTTGTGCCAAATGTACCATCAGGCCTCTCAGTTTGGGTAGCAAGGATGCCCGAACCACTTCTGCCCACGCCTTCTCAGACAACCATTCGGAAGCTGGGTTGGGGTAGGGGTTGTCTAGGGCAACACCACCGGTGAGAAGGAAGTACCACATTTCCTCATTAATTTCTTTCTTCTCTTTCAAGATACCTACAGTCAGCAGGAGGGAGAAGAGCAGCTTGTCCTTCTCAAACAGAGAGCGGCACACGTTGTTATAGACGCTCAGGGTGAAATGTTCAATGATGTAATTGATACGCTGTTGCAGGTCATCGCTCTTAGCACTGTGGGCCAGGGAATGCATGTAGAGGTTGATGAACCACGTCAGCGAGTACTGGTACATGGGCTCGATGTGGGCCAGGTCAGAGATACAGAAGAATATGGTAGCAGAGTGCACAGCCACGGGCTTGTAGCCCATTCGAGTTGCATCGATCTCCATTTCTGTGGAGGAAGCTATTTCCTGCTTCTCAGAGATCTCTTCAGAGAGCAGTTTGGAGGAGGACAGAACTTTGATGGCGGTTTCGTCCTCAAGGATATTGCCCTCAGACAGGGAGAGGACCTCTAAGATCTTATCTTCAATTTCTTTTAACTGCCTCTTGTTCTGGGCACTTTCCACAATTAACATGTTCTTTTTTTCTTCCAGTTCTGGCTTCTCCTTGGCAGCCACGATGCCGAGGAGTTGGTCCTGGAGACCCAAGGGGGTGATCATGAAGTTGAGGAGACAGACTTTCACAGCAACTTCAGGGAGGTAATGTGGGTTCCTCAGACGGGTGGTGATGTATAACTTAAAATCCCTTGAGTATTCGATGATGTTTTCACCCAGCCTCATGTATTCTACCCCCTGCTGCTTAAAGGTCGCCTTGAGCAAGATGGGTTCGATAAAGGCATCCAGCTCTTCTCCCACGTTTTCCAGTAAGACAGGGGTGCCAAACTGCAGAGCATTCTCCAAAGTCCTTACGTAGGTGGCATCTGAGAACTTGATGACAGACAGTTTATTCACTTTCTCCATGTTCTTGATCCACTTATTGGCCTGACCCTGTGGGTCTATCATCAAGGCCCAGCGTCTAGAATTAGACACGATGATGCCATTGTCAATGGAGAAGGAGTCAATGGGAAGCCCAGCAATCTGCCAGGCACGGATTTTGACAGGATCCCCTAATGTGTTGCTGAGACTGAAGTCACTGGAGCGTGGGATAACCCTCTCCTTACAGTCGGCCAACCACTCCTTTTGGCATTGGGCCCGATAATCCACTGTGAAGGCGCCCAGATAAACCACGGTCCCAGAGGACACTAATACGTCCCCTGTCAGATTATTATAGCGGATCCCCAGCCGCCGGGCAGCTTCTGTCCATCTGTCCTTCTCTCCACCAAGACCACTGATTAACTTCTCTGCCCTGATAAGCTTTTGGGAGCAGATTTCAATGTTTTCCTCTAGCGCATTTTTCTTGGTGTTCATCTCTTCGAATTCGTCGTTCAGGGCCTGGAGACGGTCTTCTACCAGCTTCAGCTCTGCGCGTTTCTGGTTTAGCTTCTGCATCTGTATGTCCAGCTTCCCCTCCGCCTCCTTCAGTCTCTCCCGTTTGGGAGCCACCACCTTGGCCACGCGATCGTACACCTCCATGGCCCTCACCCACTTGCACAGACCCTCACAGGCAGATGACACGTTTTTAATGACAGCTGGCTGGAATTCTGGGTGATCAATAAATCTTTCCCGGATCCGTTTCATGATCAATGGGGGGATATTGTCTTTGTCATAGGTTTTGAGACTCTCCAAGAACTTCAGATCTCCAAGAACCTTTTTTGACACTCCCCAGAAATCTTCTATCATCTTACCTGTTTGGTACAGGAAACAGAGATAGACTGTTGATGGCATTTTGCCTTCTACTCTCCACTGTCTGCAACTCCCTCAAAGTGTAAGCTCCTTCTTTGTTTTCTAGAGATGTGAAGTTTTGCACCAAGCCCTTGGTGCAAAACTTGCCCAGCATGGTTTCATTTGTTTACCTTTGTGGTGCTGGGATCAAACCCAGGGCCTCACACATGCTAGACACACTCTAGCACTGAGCAACACACTCCCTTCAGCTGACCTTCTCCACATCAGCTCTGCTTTGTTCCTTGGACTTGGGCTACAAAGCACCTTCCTTCAATTCCTCTATGATCCCCAGGTGCTTCACTACCATGAGTCCTTTGCCTAGGCTATAAGTGGCTGACCAGACCAAAGTTTTCAATTTAAAAGTTACCTCCATCCAGAGGTTTCCCTTGATTTTTCTTCCAAGGGGGGATCCCACCTTCTACCTCCCCCAGTACCCCCACCCCACCATTTTATTTTTTAAATTTGGTATTAGAAATTTAACCCATGGATGCTTTACCATTGCTACATCCCCAGCCCTTTTTATTTTTTATTTTTAGACAGGGTCTTGCTAAGTGGATTAGGGCCTTGCTAGGTTTCTGAGGTTGGCTTTGAACTTGTGATCCTCCTGCCTCAGCCTCCAGAGCCACTGGGATTACAGATGTCCACCCCCACACCTGCTCCAGTGTCTTCTTTCCTCATCCTGCTAGCAGCTCTGTTCTCATGACAGCATTTATTGCATTCAGCCATTTTTTGTTTACTCTCTACTGTCTGCCTCTCCCTCAAAGTGTAAGCTCCTTCTTTCGTTTTCTAGAATTTGGCCTGATAGTCAGCTATCAATAAATATGAGTCAAGTGTTGTCTCACTATCCCATTGAGAGGTGGAAAGAGTGACAGGCGCCAGAGCCTTTGGTTATGTATTTGGAATATTCTTTCCCAAGTCTGGGAGGCAGGTGGATGGAACCCAGTCAGTCCTTGTGAGGAATGGTGTGAGACAATGGTCTTGGGGAAGCAGCCTGTAGGCTTACAACTGGGCAGGAGGCCACCCATGGCCAGTCCTGAAATGAAGCCATGTCCTTATCCTCCTTAGCACCTGTCATGCTATCAATGAATCAAGTGAGTTTCAGATCCCAACCTGAATCAGGGCTCTTTTTCTTGACATGTTAGAAGAAATGCAAGAGCCTTTTCAGCTCATGATACCAATCTAGGGTTCATCCAAAAAAGCTGTACTTTGAGACATTATAATGACTATGATTTGTTCATTCCTAAGGGCAAGCACAGCAACCAGCCAGATATTTCCCATGAAGGTTTTTGGTTGCACTCTGCAAAATGATCTGCTTCATTTGAATTCAAGCTAACTCAACTGTTCTGTGGCTCCATGCCAACATACTCACTAAATTCTACAGTTTTGAGGTATATTACTCATGATTTGCTTAGATTTTATTGATGGATTCTGTGTTGATCATCAATGATCCAGAGTGACACCTGACATCCATGACCTGCCCACACTCTGTGTCTCAGAAGGTATCAACCTGGCCACACCTTCCAACTACCCAGGGAGTTTATAAAAAGAACTAATGCTCCAGTTGCATGACAGACAAATAAAATAAATCCCTCTAGAGGTGCGGCTTCAGCATTCTTCAAACTCCTCAGGTGATTCTAGTATAGCCAGGATGCAGGCATATTGATGAGCTCACCCTTGTTCAGGCTGACTTTTTGAGTCTCTGTGGCTTCCCTAAAGAATTATTTAAGAAAGTCTGCTCCCCGCTGGGCCATTCTTCAACCACTTTCACATGGTTGCTGGTCTGAAACCGGCCAGATAGGAGGAGATAGGAAGCATAGGGAAGCAGGAGACTGAGGATCCTAAATGAGGGATCAGCAATTTCTGACATTTCAGAAGCAAAGAAGGGATAGCAGGACTGTTTCCAGCACAGGAGTCCTTGTTCAGTTCTAAGGCACTGTTTTTGTTTGTTTTGTTTTGTTTTTGTACTGAGGATTGAACCCTGGGGCACTTTACCACCAAGCAACATCAAGCCCTATTTTCTATTTTGAGATGGGGTCTTCTTAAGTTGTCCAGGCTGGCCTTGAACTTGCTATCCTCCATCCTCACCTCCCACAAGTCACTGGGATTACAGGTGGGCACCACCGCACCATCTGGCTCTCTAAGGCACTGGTCTTAATACAAGGTCCTATAGCAAATTCACATTTTAAGGAGAATAGATATTCACTTATTTATAATAATAATAATAATAATTTTTATTATTATTATTATATATTGCTGCTCAGTGACCTCATAGAGAGAGTTCTCCTCCTGCCCCTCCTGCTCCTTCCTTTCCTTGCCATCTCTATCTTACTCCTCCCCCATCCCAAACCACCAATTTCTCTCTCTCTCTGTCTCTTGGTATATGTGTTTGTCTTCTTTCTCTCTCTTCTTTCTTTCCCTCTTTTCTTCCCATTCTTTCTCTTTCTCTGTCTCCTTGACTCCACGTGTCTCTGTCTCTGTTTCTTCCTCTCAACATTTCTGCCTATTTTTTAAAAATTTATACATGACAGCTACATTTCTGCCTCTTAATCTCTGTTTCCATCTGTTTCTTCCTCCACATTCCTCCCTCCCCCCCCTCCCCTCTGTGTCTCACGGTGTATGTGTGTCTTTCCATTTCCACCTCTCTTTCTGTTTCCCTATCTCTTTCTCCCTCCTAATTTCTTCCCCCCCTTATCTCTCTGTTCACTATCTTATCTTTGAGTGTGTCCTGGTATCTGGGTCTCTCTACATGTATTTCTCCAATCTTGCAGTCTTTCTCTTTATCTCTGCTCATGTTCGTTCTTTCTCTCTCTCTCTCTCTCTCTCTAACACACACACACACACACACACACACACACACACACACCTGTGTCTGCTCCACACCAGGACTTCTGTCTGCCTGACATTCATTTTTGTAATGATTTTCAGGCTGGGGCTTTGCCTAAGCTCATTCTATATCCCTGCCCCCACCACCATACTTGCATTTTCCCAGCTGATCGACAGAAACACCAATAGGATCTCTGGGTACACACACACACACACACACACACACACACACATACACACACACATCCGGGCACTTTTCTAAATTCTTCCAAAACTCAGTGGTCCTAGCTGAGGCCTGTGGCCGATGGGGTGGGAAGGGACACTTGCATCCTTCCTGCCAGGGAAGAGCAGCCTGGCTGGGCTGGGCTGGGCTGGGCTGGGGGTTACCGGAGCCGCTGGGATCTGGCTTCCTCTCCGGCTTCAGCCCTTTCATGACGCAGATGCTCTCCATGACCAGCTTGACAGGGCCAGGTGGGTTCTGCATCGACTTCACCAGCGAGATATCAGCAGGATTCAGGGTGTCGAGAGCAGCAAGTGCGGCCTCAAGGGCTGGCATGGCCTCGGCCAGGTCCCCCTCGCATTCGTTCTGTGGAGCACAGGGATGAAAGGAATGGGTGCCCAGTGCGCAGCATGCAGGGGTGAGGCAGGGCTCTGCTCCTGGAGAAAGCAAAGTAGGCAGGGAGAGGCACTTCCTGCCCAGATGCCCTTTAGGACAAGGCCTCCCCACAGAACACTGTACTGAAGGGTGGCTCTGACCACAGCAGGCAGCAGGAACATGAGCCTGGCATCTTGGGGCTGGAGTTTGGCTATCCTGCACATTTGAGCATCCACTGTGTATGTGTTCTTCAAAAAAAAAAAATTAAACATTGTTCAAATCAAGGCAATTAGCATTTCTATATCTTCAAAGATTTATCATTTCCATGTGTTGGGGAAATTTCAAATTCTTCTAGTTATTTTTAAATATATAATAAATTACTGTAGATTGTAGTTAACTATCCATGCTATAGAACATGAGAACCAATTCTTTCTATCTGGCTGTATTTTAGTAACTGTTACTAAAATTCTTTTAAAAAAAAGTCAGAAAAAGAAAAAGAAAACTTCTACTAGAATATTTTTAGATTGAAGGTGTCCAGAATGCTTATTAATTCTGTTATTTTGCTAATGGCCACTATTCTTTTGGTTGGAATTGAAACTAATTGGATTGTATAACTAATCTACATCCTTTCCTTTTATCTCCTTAGTCAACAAAATCTACAATTCTGTTTCTGAAAAAAAAAAAAAGAAAGAAATGAAGCATTTAATTTTTAACAAGTTCCCAAGAGGTACAAAGTGGTTGTTTCCCCTCCATCAATGGGTGTAGGTTGAGAGGAGAGCGAGTCAAAGATGAGCCTCAGAGGTGAGTGACAGGAGCAAGTTGAGGAAAGAAACAAGACCCGAGGGTGGAAGTCAGGAAGGGGTGAGGGTCCAAGATGGGGCTGGTGGGCACAGGGCAGAGTTTCAGGCAAGGTGGGTTAGTGATGGGGAGAAGGATTAGAGCTGGGCAAAGATAGGGCTGAAGTCAGGGAAAACGAAGTGGTGTATGTTTTATTCATCATTTGCTAATTTAAATACACAGTTAACACAATGGAGCATTATCCAGCCATTAAAAAAATGAAGTAGTGATGCCTGCTAGAACAAGGATAAGCCTTGTAAACATCTTGCTAAATGAAAGAAGCCAGACACAAAGAGCCACCTGTTAATACAATTCCATTTATATGAAATGTGCAGAATGGCAAATCCACAGAGGCAGAAATTAGGTAAGTGGTTGCCCAGGGTTGGGAAGAGGAGGGTACAATAGGGAGTGACTGCTAATGGGTCTTATGGGGTAATGAAAATGTTCTAGAATTAGATAGTAGTGAGAGTTGCACAACTTTGTGAGTGTACCAAAAACCACTGACTTGCACAATTTAAAAGGGTGAATATTAATAAGCCATATGGATTATGTCTCATTTTTTTTAAAAAAACCAGCTTAACATGAGAATATTTTAAAACCGAAAGGGACTTTATGGATTAGTTAGTAACCCAATTATCACATTCTATCAAAAATGAAAATTAAAAAAAATCCAAGGATGCACAATGAGTTAGCCAAGGTCACATAGCTGGTTACTCACAGAGCCAGGATCTTGGCTCCCCACTCCATGAACTCTGTTAGTTCCCCAAGTCCAAGGAGTGATCACACAGCCAGGGTGGGGAAGTGAAACTTCACAGAGAACGGCAATTCTTAGGCGAGTTAAAGCAAGCATGTGTTGAAGTCTTTCTATCCCTCAGGGCTACTGTGATAGGCAAATACACAAAACCTTCTTACATGTGTGTGTGCACATGCATGATACATAAACTGGTGTGTATGTTGCAGAATGTTTCAGGGTTTCTGCTTCTCTACAAACATAAAGCAATGTTTTATTTTGCTTCATCATATTGAAACTCCACACCCAGTCAGCCACATCAGATGTCCTATCAAAATGGACTATGGAATGTCCTGCTTCAAGTGGCATCAATGGCCCAGGTTTGGGGCAACTCCAGCTTGCTCACTCTTTATCCCTGGCACATGCATCAGATTAGAAAGCAAGAGGAAAAGAACACAGGTTGGTCCCTACTGTTTGGTGGCAGGGGCAGCCAAGGGTGTTGGCTCAGGGGTAGTTCTGGATACTTGGACATTTCAAGGATCCCAGGTGCCCAAGGCTTCACGTCATCAATAGCTCCATGTTGCTTTTTTTATAATGTTGCCAGACAATGCGTGGCTTGTGCATGCTTCATGCCCCCATTGTGCCCGGGAAGCTCCACTCCTTTTCCTAAGGGACAAGACCTGGATTCCAGCTCAGTTTTGGAGAAAGCAAGTTTGCCAAATCATTCAAAGGGGCCTCTCATTGTGGAATTATCTGTAATAGTGAGTCCCAGCATGGGCCGTGCCTCGGAGTCACTGAGCAGCATTAGAACATCCTTGCGGTCAGGCTCCACACCCAGAGATTCTGATTCATTCAGGTGGGGTGGGGTCCGGGCATCTGCATTTTTAAAACTCTGAAGGTGATTCTGACACACAGCTCTGTTGAGAAATCCACTTGATACCATCAAAACACAAAAAACAAAAGGGCAAGAGGGAATGAATGCCCGACAGGGGAATGGCCACTTGATGTGTGATACACCACCTCGAAATGGCCATTGTGATGACCATATAACATTTGGGGAAATGTTTGAGATAAGATGTTAAGTGAAGAAAACACAGCGTGGTGGAAATCGCAATTATACGATGACCTCTGTGATATAAAACTGTGCCTGTGTGTGGACAGGGATGAGAGGGCTAATTGAAGTTGAAACTTGCAATCATTTCATATGTGTTGTTGCAACATTTGTATGATGAAAACCCTCACAATTAAAAATGGCCTGTGTCTTGGCAATGCCAGGAAAACCAGGGCTGTTAGTCCAATGAGCACAGCGCACCCTGATGAAAGGAAGTCAGTCTGCAGGAACCCTGCCACCTTATCCTCATTAAAAGGGGAAGGAATGATTCATCAGCTCCTGAAGAGCTGACCCTTTTAAGCCAACTGCTCCCCTTGTGTGTTGAGTGTTTGGGAGTCTCTTTCTCTTACAGTATCCCAGTCTTCCCGTGTGAGCTCCACCTGTACTGTTGAGTCTCTAGCACGCAGTAGGCACCGTATTGTGCATCTACCATGTGATGTCATTTGGAGGGGTTCAAGGTGAGTGGAGGGATATTAGCATCCTCACAGGAAGAAGGGCTACTGCCCTGAGGGGTTCAGGAAGGGAGTCTGGTCCACACCAAGTCTCAAGCAAACTGCAGGGTAAACACAGGTTTCTTCCTTCTTCTCCCTGTGTGTTTCTTCCACCTCCTGAGTCACCTTCAGGATGTCACTCCCAGGAGTGGGGATGGCGTGGCACAGCGTTCAACCTCACCCCTCCCACAAAACCTGAGCGGCCAGTTTACTGCCCAGGTGTAGGTGGGTGGGGATCCTGGGTCATCGCTCACCTTCTCCCACTCCAGCAATCTGCTGCCTCACCTGAATCTATGGAGCAGAATCCTGGGTGTGAGGTTCCCCTTCTGCATGGTCCCCACGTGTGTGAAAGGCGGACCTTTGTCACACTTGGTACAGGGCAAGGAACGTCGGCTTTGGAGAAAAGCTAACCTGGACCTTAAACTCTGGCACCTGCTACCAACTTTACCTGTTTTCCTCTTGGTACCCCCATTTTATAAATGAAGAAAGTGAGGCTGGGAAAGGGGGCGGAGCAAAGGTAGAACCCTGACGTGCCTGATCTAACACAGAATGCCCAGGAGGTGCAAGTTCACGTAGCTTCAGGGGGCAGGCGGGTGACATGAGACTGAAAAGTGGGCTGAACAGGGCTTTGGTGGACTGTGACACACAAAAACCAGTGTGTACCCCATGCAGCTGATGGGTGCAACCCAGGAATGCAGGATTGATGTTGCCAGAATGCCTGAGTTTTAAAGGCAAAAGCTAATTATTTGAAATTTTTATTTGAAATCTCCTGATTTTTTTTTTTTTTTTTTGTACTGGGGATTTAATCCAGGGGTGCTTTACCACTGAGCTACATTCCTAGTCTTTTTAAAAAATTTTTATTTTGACACTTTCTAAGTTGCTGAGGGTCTTGCTAAATTGCTGAGGCTGGCCTTGAACTTGCAATCCTCCTGCCTTGGCCTCTCATGTTGCTGGGGTTACAGGCATGTACCACTGTACTCAGCTTGAAATGCCCTGATTTTTAAAAGTTGATAACTGTTTCTATAAATATAAAATATTATGTGCATTACAGTGTCCATGTGGGTCCTGGGATGCCAGCTTGCAATGGAATAAGGGTCAAATGCCTGGGCTTTGAGTCAAAGAGCTCTGGGTTTGAATGCTGATTCTGTCACTTGGTAGCTATGTAACTTCAGTCTTGTATCGTGATTTTCTCATTGGGAAACTGGGAATGATGCTACTTGCATTGTAGGGCTGATGAACCAGGTATTGCAGGCCACGTGAACTAAGGGTGGGAGAAAATAACCTCCACGATGAAAGAACTTGCTCTATTGTGTTCACTCCTAGCTTTCCACCTAAAAAAGTGCTAGCACATAGTAGGAGTTCAAAAAATACTTGTTAAATGAAGAAATACCCACTAAAACACCACAGTGCCGATGAGCATTAGCTATAATTATTTGGTTATAGAAGGCACATTACCCACTAGATTATGGTTCTTGGTGCCTGACAGTCACTGTATTTTGGGGGTGGGTATGTTATTATTCTCTTTATTATGGTAACCGTCACCATTTTTATGGTTTCCATTTGTCTTCTGTCCAAGCCACTATAATCATGAGTAAGCCTTCATAATCCAGGGTATCACCCCCTCAAATATGCCAGAGGCCAGGTCTCAGAAACCATTAGAGAAAAGCTAATTTGAAGGCCTGTCCTTTTGGAGAAAATGCCCATGACCTATTTAAGTAAGAAGGCAGACACAGGCTACTTCTTAAAGAAGCCCATGTTTGAAGAATGGTGGAAAAATTTCTCTAAGTGCCAAGAAAAGAGTATAGGGACCTAAAGATAGTGCCATGAACCTTAGATTCTAATCCCACCAAGTAGCTCTGCAGCTCTGGAGGGCCATTTCACCCCTGACCTCAGTGGGATCAACTCTCAGATATTGACACCTGTCATTTCTAAGTCTAAAGATGTTTGTGATGCTCAAATGGAATTGTGTGCTCCAAAATGCTTTGAGAAATACATACCACCACATCAGTGTCAATCAGATTTTCTTCCAATATCTCAATGTAGGCTAAGACCTTCTCAGAACTTTGGTATAAGAACCACCTTCAATAGGGTCTTCTAGTGTCATTTGACAGATATCTGTTCCCACATCTAAGACATGACAAAGATGAAGGAAAGAGATATTTGGATGCCTAAAGGAGGAGCATTTGGGTAGAACAGCCAGTGCAAAGGCCCTGGAGTGGGAGTGTGCCTTACATTTATATAAGGAATAGTCAGGAGGACTAGCCAGTGTGCCCAAGCAGAGGGAATGAGAGAAAAGTAATAACAGAAGAGCTAAGATCATGCTGTGTTTTTTTGGCCTTGATTCTGAATGAGACAGAGAATGTTTGGAAAATGGTAATGATTCTTGGAGAAAGCCAGGTGTCAGAAAGCCATAATTCATTATTAGCTGTGTGAAGGCAGGAGAGTGGCCTACTCTTCCTGAATCTCACGGGTCTCATCTGCAGGATGGACGTGACATGCACATCCTGCAGGGCTGGCTCCCTGCTCTCTTTGCTGCTCTCCATACCTTGATTCCCTGGGCAACGGCAGCAGCAGCGTTGGCCTCTTTCTCATCTGCCTGAACCAGAAGCTTTTTGGCATCAGCTTTTCTAGTCTCCTCTTCAATCTTCACCATCATCTTAGCGGTCTCTTCGGAGGTTTGGATGAGTTGAGGTTGAAGGGCGGTCAGTTCCACTTGCATGACGGCCACCTGGCAAGGACAGAGGGGTGGGAGGTTATCCAGGGTCAGCTGGGTCAGTGCAGAAAATGGCAAAGTTGGCAAGAGTTGACTGCATCTCCAACAGATGCAGAAAATATGGACTAATGATTTGGACATGGTCATGGGTCACATTTGTTGGTGGTGTTGATCTCCTTGATTTTTTAACACTTAGTTGTTGAATTCATTTGTGTGTTGGGGTTATCAAGCTCCGTGCTTGGTGCTAGTTATACAATGGCAAACTAAACCAATTTTAAAGGAACAGTTTCTTCCCTTGTTCTTTATAGTGTTGGGGAAAGATAGAACAAAAACAAATTAGGAAATTTTAAAATAAAAGCTACCTTTTTTAAAAGCTATATAGGAAAGTACACATATAAGGGGTGCTAGGGATTGAACCCAGGGCCTTGTGCATGCAAGGAAAGCACTCTACCAATTGAGCTATAGCTCTAGCCCTAGAAGGCACCCTTTTTGGGGGCGGGTACCAAGGATGGAACTCAGGGGCACTCAACCACTGAGCCACATCCCCGGTCCCTTTTTATATTTTATTTAGAGACAGGGTCTCACTGAGCTGCTTAGTGCCTTGCTGTTGACTCGCGATTCTCCTGTCTCATCCTCCCAAACTGCTGGGATTACAGGCGTGTGACATCACGCCTGGCAGAAGGCACTTTTAAGGCTATGATTTCCAACAGTGCTGAGGTCTGAACGTGCTCTGCCTCCCTGCCATTCACATGTTGAAGCCTAATCCCTAAATCAAGGCTATTTGGTGAGGCTTTGGAGGTAATTAGGTTAGATGATGTCATGGAGGAGGGGACCTTGTGATGGGATAAATAACCTTATAAAAAGAGAAAAAGACATGAGATTTATCTCTTCCCACCTTGTGAGGACAAAGCAAGAAGGTCCTTTCTAAAAGCTAAGGACCCCAAGTTAGACCCAGTAACTCTAGAAGCAGAGCAACAGAGGCCACCTCTGGTGTTGTCTTCCATCCCTCTGTTGGAGTGTTTGGGCTTGTTGTATACAGCACAGGACAACCTACTGTCAATCAACCCATTGCCTCAGTTCTTTACTGGTGGTAAAAATACACTTCTTAATATGGCTCTAATTTTAGATGGTTTGTTAAATGGCTCCAAGCTCAAAATCAGTTCATAACTCATCTCTAAGCACTTTGCTAAGGAGTGTTCTTGTGTCAGCTTATTTGATTCTCATGTTAGCATATGCAACAAAAATTGTTATTCTGGCCTTTTTTATAGAAGAAGAAACTGAAGCCCAAAGAGGTGAAATAGGTGGTAAGTTGTAGAGCTGGAATTTGAGCCCAGGTCTGACCCCACAAAGCTCAGCTCCTACCCACTTACCTTATCCAGTTCCCCACAAGAATGGGACAAGTGAGGTACTTTCCCCAGGCACAGCTTAAAGGAGCATAAAAATACTCAGTACTAGGGCTGGGGTTGTGGCTCAGGGGTAGAGCGCTTGCCTAGCATGTGTGAAACATTGGGTTCAATTCTCAGCACTACATATAAATAAATAAAATAAAGATCCATTGACAACTAAAAAATATTTTTTAAAAATACTCAGTCCTCCAGATAAATAATACCTTATTGGAATCTTTTAAGAAATCAAAATTGGTACAGAAAAATCCACAAGGAACAAAATATTAAAATCTTTCATAAAGGCAGGATCCTGTGGGATCAGAAGGCAAGTGAGGTGGGCTGTCTAAATGCAGGCTCAGATCCTGCCTTTATTTAGTGCCCTTGTAATTTCTATGCCTTAACAAGGGCCTCACCACATCCACCGAGTCCTGGACCTCTCTGTCCCTGTTCAGTTTTGGCAGTGCTTACTTGGGAAGCTGCAAAATCAAGTTTCTGCAAGCCCGTCAGGTAGCGGTTCCGCATCATGTCCACTTCCTGCCTCTTGATATTCAGGAGCGTCTTGAAGGTTAGAATCAGCTCAAGGTAGGAGGTGGGGGTGACATAGTTGTGTCTGCGGAGCGTGTTGTAATAATCAACTGACAGGTTCTTCACACTCTCCTGAAAATATTTGCACATAGAGACGACCCTGCCAAAGACACCAAGGTGGTTAGGCAGGACCCAGGTTCCTACAGGGAGACTTGGCACAACTTTGGTAACAGACATGAAGGCGTGAGAAGGCACATACACTGATTGTGGCCCATTTAGAATGCAGCAGGTCCTCATAGAAGAGGCAGCAAAGGATGGAGAAGGTGAATATTCTTACTAGGATGATCTTAAAGGTCATTTCTATCCTGATCCCTTTGATAAGTCACTGGAGCTCAGGCAGGACTTGCTAACCTTCAGCAGTCTGAAGAAGCTTTCTGACTACACAGAATAATGTTTTTAAAATGCATAAAATAAAATATATAAGATTACCAAGGAAATCAATTATATTTTTTTTTTCAAATTTAGCATATTTATTTTTCTACTTATTTTTATTCTACAACTTCAGTATTATGGGTTTGACTCTTAGCAATTTCTTTTTTTTTTTTTTTTAATTTTTTATTGTGGGTTGTTCAAAACATTACAAATTTCTTGACATATCATATTCCACACTTTGATTCAAGTGGGTTATGAACTCCCACCTTCACCCCATACACAGATTGCAGAATCACATCAGTTACACATCCATTGATTTACAAATTGCCATACTAGTGTCTGTTGTGCTCCGCTGCCTTTCCCATCCTCCACCCTCCCCCCTCCCCACCTCTCCCCTCCTCTCCCCACCTCTCTCTCTACCTCCTCCACTGTATAACCCTGAGGGTCTCCTTCCATTACCATGCAATTTCCCTTCTCTCTCCCTTTCCCTCCCACCTCTCATCCCTGTTAAATGTTAATCTTCTTCTCCTGCTCTTCGTCCCTACATTGTTCTTAGTTACTCTCCTTATATCAAAGAAGACATTTGGCATTTGGAAATCAATTATATTGAAATAGACTTTTCAAAATATTTTTAAAACCAAAGTTCGGATCCATAATATGTATGTTTATTGACACCTTAAATCAGGAGTTACCAAACCTTTCCTGGAAAGGGTCAAATAATAAATATTCTAGTGTTTTTGAGTCACATGCTGTCTGTCACAACTACTCAACTTTGGCAGCTATAGTATGAAAACAGCTATAGACCAACCATGTGTAAATGAATGGGCATGACTTTGTTTCAGTAACAAAAACAAGGTGTGGTTTTGAGTTCGACACATAGACCATGGTTTGCCAACCACTGTATTAAATAACAAGACTGGGCAGCAGGTCTAAAAAACATAATTTTGAAGGAAGTGATATATGGAGGAAACTTTAATGATTTAGTCAGTTAAGAAAAGAACTGTGATTCCCACTGGTAACAAAGTCACAGGCCCTGCTAATCCAACTGGGGTTTACTGCTTATACTCATCCTTGAAGGAAATGCAAAATACCAGCTGGGTGTGAGTGGAAATGGAAAGATGCAATTCATCCCCAGTCATACTTCCAAACGAACCAAATTCTATCCATGAGCCTATGGACCCAGATTGATGGTTTTTGGTCTAGAGAATAAAGTTCAAAAATCTCCAAATGGAACTTAAGAACACTGATCCTCTGACCCCTGTTCTCCTTTGTTCTTCATTCATTTATTTGAAAAACCAGCCATGGAGCCTACTATGTACCAGACACCTGCTGGGCACTCAGGATGTAGAAGTAGACACGGTGGGTTGACTGATCCTTGTTTTCATGGAGTACTCACAGTGGTTTTGAATCAAAACGAAGTGCTGTTTTTAGCACATCTGTACTGTTCACATAAAAGAACATATTTTCACCCTGGCATGAACCAATTTTCATCCCCTTGGCAGCAAGACATGACTGCATGTCCTAAGACTATTGAAATCACTGTATTGTCAGATCCAGGTCCTCTCAGCTATGAGGATAATACATGTCCAGGCTTCTTCTGAACAATGCATTTTTTCTTTTCCATAAAAGGTGCCTTATTAAATATTTAAATAAGTGTGATTCAATTTAAAAGTGTTCAGACCTCTTCTACATGTAAATTAAGAAATCTTTAAAACAATAACATAAGTACAGCCCACGTAAGGATTTTTAGCTTAGAATACTGTGGGTACTAAAATGTGGCTAACACTTACTCTGTCCGAATGTCATCCTCAAGCTCCACATCCTCTAGAAATTTGTTGGCCACCAACTCCAGGGCATCTGTGGGCCAGGACTGGAACCAATCAATTGTGCAGCAATTGATCAGCGAAGGGAACATCCTCAGGCGGTTTCTGAAGGCATCCCCAATTGGACTCATGGCTAATGAAAAGTCGACTGTGTTAATTTCCTTCCTCCAAGGCAGGGAGGTGAAAGGGAACAGGTATTTCCCAGGGTTCTGGTAGGGCAAGGTAGTGGGTATCATGAGATATTTTCATGTAACTTTGTGATGAGATTGCCATGTATCACAACAGCCTCTGACCACCCTCTCAAACACACCATTATCCCTTATGGATCCTTGGGGCCTCTTAGTCAGAGTGGAGCCCTTTGACCTACTTGCTCTATCTATGCTGACTCTGACACAAGGGAATCATAGACATCTCATATATAGTTACTTATAGAAGTTGCCATCAGCTAATTTCTGACCCTGTCTTCATATGACTTCAAATTTTACATTCTACATCTCTAATTCCATTCATTATTTACTGATTCTCAGTGTGGTTGAGGAAGCATGATGCATAGGTGGTACTATGGGGTGGTCAGTGTGGCTCAAGAACAGAGAGAAGAGGAGCTTGGTTTGAGATGAGGGTACAGAGGATACAAGGGATAGTCTGATAGGGGGCCATATGAGAATACAGGTTAGAAATTTTGACCCTTATCCTGATGGAAAGCAATTAGAGAGAGTATGTGTGTGTCTATGTGTTTGTGCACACACTTACACACGTATACACTGATGCACAGATACAATGATCATATTTACAATACATAAAAGAAATCATACTGGCTCAGTGAAAAAGAAAGCTCTAGAATGGACAAGAGTGGAGGTAGACAGTTAAAAGGTTTCAGAGGTGAAGTCTGGGTAGGATGACAATGACTTAGCAGATGAGAAGGTGACAGAGATGGAGATTAGAGGGTGGCTATGACAGAGAGTGAAGAGGTAAAAATCACCAGGACTTGGTAAGGAGAAAGAGGTATTAAACACACCTCCTAGGCTTTCAGATAGATGGGTGTGTCATTCACAGAGAGAACATGAGGTGTTGATCTGTGCAAGGGTAACGTGCTAATGCGTGCTCTTTCTCAAAGGAGAATTCAGAGAATTAGGAGAGCGGAGCAGGTGTAAGTTGTTAAGTAGTTGTTAAAGAGAAGAGTGGAAGAAGTTGCTAGAGAAACTCCAGGCTGAACTTGGGGTGCTTTGGTTGGTTCAACCATGGGACCATGGTAAAGGGATTGAGTTTAGGGTATGGAGAAGACCCTAAAATACTAGGGGAGAAAGGGTAAACTGAGCTTGCTTCTTCTCACCAAGCACAATGTGGAGATTCTTTTTCACTCTCTCAATAAAGAAGTTGTACATGGAAAGAGGAGTGACCTCTATCTTCTCTCCTTCTGTCCTGGCGGCTGATTGCATCTTCTCCACAATGTCAGCCTTCTCATCAGCTGGAAAGATATTGGGCACATCACCCGTGTTCAGAAGCATATTGATATCCTCCACAAATGACTCATCCTTGATCTGGTTATCGGCGAAGAGGAACACAGTGCTCTTGACGGCCACCCCCACCTGCAGCATGATCTTCTTTAGATCCTCACGCCAGTCGTTGCTTGTGTAACTCTTTGTGATCTCAATCTGGTAGAGCTCATAGGAGTTCATGAACGTGGACAGTTTGGTGGCACTCTGCCGCCCGCTGCCCCCAATGCCCACCAGGATCAAGTGGCCTTTGTTCTGCTTCAGAACTCTGCAGATCCTGGAGATGTGCTCAATGGCAAACCTGAACATGACCAGGGACATGGGGGCCTTGCTGACGTTGTTGAACTCTTCCAGGTAGTACTCCATGACCGCTGTGAGATGTTTTAGGTCAGTGATCTCATCATAGATTTTTTGATCACTTTCTGGCTTGGAGAAATCCCCAAAGAAGAGGCTACGGATGTTATCATCAACAATCTTTCCAGTGGGTGACAAGTGGATGAGCACCTGTGAGAAAGAGGAGTTTTCAGTTGGCCACTCAGATTGTGGCCCTACTAGGCTGGCAGTGGGAGGTGGGGAGGGGAGGGAGGAGGGGCATGTTTGTTTCTTCTGAGCACATCCTTAAGGCATGGTTTCTCAATAGCTGCATGTTTTAAAAATGTAATATGTGCATCTGATGGTTGTAAAAGACTATGGTGAAAGGACATTAAAGAAAGAGTGTGAAGGGGAAGGTTGGTCTATTTACTAACCACTTAAACACTGGTGGTCAGATTGGAAGATCCCTAGAGAAGGCAGAGGAAGGATGGTATCATTTTTCATGTCTTTCCTCACTCATCAAACAGAGGTGCAGGCACTACCCCTGGCCCCTGCTCTGTGGCTGGAGAAGGAATGGTTTAGATGTTTCCTCTTGCTGATACTAGAACCTGGCATTGCTTTGCAATGGGCCTCTGACTATAATATAAAACGCTTCTGCAAATTTTTTATGGAGAAATCACAGCTTCTTAGCAATGGGGGTAGAACTACAGGATGCACATATATAGTTTTTTAAAAAAATTTCTTTTATTAAAATGAAAAAAGAAAATATTCACAAATGGAAGATCATTATAATCTTCCATTTGGGCTTTAATAGGGCCTCAGTCAAACCATGAAAAATCTTTTTTCCTCCCTCAACTCTCAAATAAATTGACCCTAAAACTGCATTTTAAATTAATTGTAAACAAATAACATCATATATGAAACCACTGATGGATATAGTGAATGGATACAACTTTATGTTACTTTAGAAATGAAGCCAAATTGGACCAAGTCAAGTATCACCAAATCAAATGACCAGCTGATGGATGCCCGCAGTAGCATTTCCTGAGATTCAGAGCAGAGTGGTGAGTCTCTACTGGGAAGGGAACTGGAATCTGAGACTAACATGGTCAAACACTGGGGACCATTTCTGAGGCCAAATGGTCACAGAATCTGACTTACCTTCTCCACAGTCTGCTTGAAACAACTGGAGGTGGTCTCTTTCACCATGTTAAAAAAGACCTCTCTGTCCTCCTTGTCAACCAGGCGATCATAAAACACCCTATATACCTCATGGATCCAGAGCCGGATAAATTTTTCAAAATCCTAAAAATCCAGAGTTAATTATATGAATGAGTGGAAGGTGGTATCTGAGGTGATAGGTCTCAAGCAGTATCTAAATTCTAGGATTGAAGTAAAGAGTAAATGAGATAAAGTGTATAAAATATTTAGCATGATGCTTAGCATGAATTAAGTGCTTAATAAATCCAGCTATCCCTATCATTATACATCTAAGCATATTGCTGAATGCTCATGGTAATGAAATGATGGGGGCTCACCTGCAGGTGGGTGTGAGGGCACAGCAGTACCCCCTGGATTACCCGTGAGAAGTCCCGCAGGTTAAATACATAATGGGACTTGGAGGGAGTTGGCAAGAAGTTCTCTACTGCAGCTCTGTAAATTGTCCTGGTCGCTTGTACCATCATCTTTCCATGCCTTGGGAGGAGGAGGAAGGCCGATCATTCAAGAAGGGGCCAGATGGAGAAAACCACCCCCCCAACCCAGGTCAATATCCAGGAAACTCTCACCTTAAGAATGCCACATCGAATCCTTTCCCAAAGTGCCAATCCGAAATAGAACCAAAAATCTTGGTTAAAATGTCATCCTCAAAGGCACTGATGGAAATGATGTTCAAATGGCGAGTGAATCGACCTGGAGAACACACACATTCTAGTTTGCACACACTCATGCTCCCTGGACCTAGTGACCTTGGGACACAGGGCAGTTGGGTTTCACTCTGCCTTCATGTTCTATTGCTCTGCTGTCCAGCATGTCAGCCTCTAGCCTTATGTGGCTATTTAAACTCAAATTAATTAACATTAAGTAACATTAAAAATGGATTTCTTCAGTCTCTCTAGCTTCACCTCAAGTGGTTGAGAGCCACACAAGGCAGGTGGTTATTGCACTGCTCAGTACAGATACAGACCGTCTAATGATGACAAAAGGCCTGTTAACAGCATTAATCTAGTGCACAGGATTATGTTTTAAAAATTAAGGCAAGAAATAGTTATTCAGAAATAGTTCTGTAGGAAGTACCTCCTTCATTCATTTATTTTCCATACACCAAATTCACTCCCTTCTCCAATTAACCACTATTAATTTGATATCTTCTGGGAGGCTGATGCAGGAGGATCACAAATTCAAAACTAGCCTCAGCAACAGTGAGGTGTTAAGCAAAGCAACTCAGTGAGACCCTGACTCTAAATAAAATACAAAATAGGGCTGGGGACATGGCTTAGTGGCCAAGTGCCCCTAAGTTCAATCCCTGATAACCGCCCCCCCCCCAAATTGATATCTATCTATTTACCTACCTACTCAAGATATCCATATCTATCTACCTATCTATATAAGCTTTATTGATATATCAAAATTAATTAACATATTATATAATTCATCCACTTAAAGTACATAATGCAATGATTTTTAGTATATTCAGTTTTATGTAACCATTACTACAATTTTAGAACATTTTAATCACCCCTAAAAGAAACCTTGTACCCATTAGTAGTCATTCCTCATTTTCTTACCATTTTCAGCAACTAATAATCTACTTTCTGTCTCTCTAGATCTGCCTGTTATAATAATTTTATTTTTTAAAAAGTTTCAATATAAAGTAAGTCACAGATTCAGAAAACTACACAAAACCAATGTATAGTTTAGTGAAGTCATTAAATCCCCTTACCTCCATCACCCAGGACAAGAAACAGAACTCTGCCAGTCCTTCATTGAAGCCCTTCCATGGGCACCATTCAGGTCATAGCTCTCTCTTTCTTTCCTCCTCCAAAAAGTTATCACTAGCTGGGTGTGGTGGTACACACCTGTAATCCAGTGGCTTGGGAGGCTGAGACAGGAGATTTCCAAGTTCAAGATCAGCCTCAGCAACTTAGTGAGGCACTAAACAATTTAGTGAGACCATGGCTCAAAATAAAAAGCAAAAAGGGCTGGGCGCAGTGGTGGCGAGGTGGCACACACCTGTAATCCCAACAGCTCTGGAGGCTGAGACAGGAGAATTGAGAGTTCAAAGCCAGCCTTAGCAACGGTGAAGTGCTAAGCGATTCAGTGAGACCCTGTCTCTAAATAAAATAGAAAATAGGGCTGGGAATGCAGCTCAGTGATTGAGTACTCCTGAGTTCAATCCCCAGTACCTAAATAAATAAATGAAATAAAAATTTAAAAAAAAGTAAAAAGGGCTGGAGATGTGACTCAGTGGTTAGGTGCCCCCGGGTTTAATTCCCAGTACCACCAAAAAAAAAAAAAAAAAAAATCATTATCCTGACTTTCCTATCTTATATTTCTTAATGGTTTTCAGCACTCAAATGTTTATTCTTAGGCACCAGAGTTTAATTTCTGCCAATTAAAAGTACTTTACATATCTTTAAATTGTTTTCTAATCCACAGGATTTCTCCACTCCCCATTTCTCTTATCTGTTGTGGATCTACGTTGTTTGACCTGTAGAATTTTGTTGATTATATACCCCTGGTGCTGTTCACCATGTTCCTCTCTCCTCTGTGTTTCCTATAAATTTATAGCTGGATCTAGAGAGAATCAGAGCCAGGCTTCATCTCCTTTGGCCAGACTGTAGGTGCTGGTGCGTTCCTTCATCAGAAGGCACACGATGGTGCTTCTCATTTGGTAATGCTGGTAGCTACTTGTGCTCAATGGCTAGATCCATCAATTCACAGAGGACTGCAAACTGATGTTTTGAGTTATTTCTGTTTTCATTTTTAAAAATGTTTTATTTTTACAGTGCTGGGGATCAAATCTAGGGCCTTATGCATATTAGGCAAACATTCTACTACTGAGCCACATCCCCTTTTCTATAGAGACAATTTCCTCATTTACTATATGGTTATACAGTGATACATATCATATGAAAAAGGATAATGTGGTGTACACCTGTACTCCCAGTGACCCAGGAGGACTGCAAGTTCCAGGTCAGCCTTAGCAATTGAGCAAGACCCTGTCATTTGTCAGTAAATTAATAGAACTGGAGAATATCATACTAAGTGAAATAAGCCATTCCCAAAACATCAAAGTCCAAATATTTTCTCTGATAGGCAGAGGCTAATTCTCAGTAAGGTGTGTGGTGGGTGGTTAGGGAAGAAAAGAAGTACTTTGGATTAGACAAAGGGGAATGAAGAGACGGGAGGGGGAATGGGAATAGGAAAGATGGTAGAATGAATCAGACAATACTATCCTGGGTGCATACACAATCAACGTAATTCTACATCAGATATAACCAGAAGAACGAGCAGTTATACTCCATATATGTATAATATGTCAAAATACATTCTACTATCATGTATAACTACTTAGAACAAATAAAAATTATTATAAAAATAAATGATAAATGATTAAAAAAAAAAGACTGAGGATGTAGCTCAGTGGTAGAGCACTGTCAGCTCAATCCCCAGTACTGGGGGGAGGGGAGTGGGGGGAGGAGTGTAAATGCTTGATTCTGTTTATTAGTTGTAAACACAATGAGTTGTTCCTTATCAACTTCTGAAGCTGACCACCTCTGATTATGATGATTGATTATGCTTTCATGGATTGAAACATATTTTGGCAAACACCAATACATTGAAATCATCATCACTGTTGAAGTTGAAATGTTCTTATCTTTGGTCAGTGAGGGCCTCTTTCTGTTGGCTACTGAGTCCTTCTGACATACCTCTAGTAGTCTCAGATAGCTTTCTCACTATCTGGTATATCAAGAAGTGACAGGCTTATATCATATGTTTCCTGACCCAAACAAACAATCAGTCATTTCTACAAAAATAAATAAATAAATAAATAAATAAATAAATAAATAAATAAATAATAAAAATCCTGGTTTCTTTTAGTAGGAAATTGGATTTCAAGATGGCAATTGGGGTGGTAAGCCTGCTTGTTGTTAGTGAGTTGATCATTATTCCTAGACCTTTTCAGTGGCTATCATGGGACCTGATGAATTATTACTGCATTTCTAGTTCAAGTCTAAGACCACAGGGCATTGACTTAACTACTTGTCTATTATATCTTGATCTTTTTCCCCTTCTATGCTGAGACTCCAGGACACAAGGGATAAGTGAAATAGAAAACTGCATAATTACTCATTTGCATAATCTCACTTGGCATACATAAAGCCCTTAGAATAAGAAATATAGTACCACTGCCAGTTTTTTTCTTTTTTTGTATTAGGGATTGAACTTGGGGCACTTAACCACTGAGCTACATTCTCAGCCTGTTTTTTGTATTTTATTTAACGACAGGGTCTCACTGAGTTGCTTAGCACCTCACTAAGTGGCTGAGGCTGGCTTCGAACTTGAGATCCTCCTGCCTCAGCATCTGGAGCCATTGGGATTCCAGGCATGTGCCACTGCGCCAGGCACCAATGCCATTTATGATAAATTTTTGTATGCTTTCTCCCGATGACCCTTCCATTTTTGATTGTTCTGTATCTATATCACTGAATCCTGTAATATCTCCCATACATATTATAATCTCTCCCATTTAGTTTTAGTTGAACAAGTAATCCTATGTTTTATGCTTAATTCCCAATGGTTTCATTGATCTCTCTGTAATATTTTGATTGTTTGAACACCATCATCAAGGAGATTTATAAGACAGTGCTTATGGATATAATAGTTTCTGTGTTCTTGTATGTTGGTAAGAATTTTTCTTTTGGGCTGGGGATGTGGCTCAAGTGGTAACGCGCTTGCCTGGCATGCGCAGGGTGCTGGGTTCGATCCTCAGCACCACATAAAATAAAATAAAAGATGTTGTATCCACCGAAAACTGAAAAATAAATATTAAAAAAATTCTCTCTCATCTCTCTCTCTCTCTTTAAAAAAAAGAATTTTCCTTTTATCAGTTAAAGGTTCTGTTATCTAGTTACCTGTATTTGTGTGGGGATTTGGGAAGATTCAAAACCTGAGTTGCTGTTGCTGTCATTTCCTCAAAATTCTTCCTTAATTTTTCACATGTAGATGTGTAAATTTATAGTTTGCATGTGTATACACAACATACACACAAAAGATATTATCTGTCTTTACATATATACACTGACATATGTAGGTTTTGCTTTTTTAAAGGGAATAGAATAATATTTTATATATTATTGATGTGGGACCGTTGTTAGCTATGTGAACCTGAGGAAGTCACTTAACCTTTTGATGAAGGGATAAAAATAGTACTTAATGTTGACTTATGTTTGCTCAGTGTTATATGAACACAGACCCATGCTAAAGGTGCTCTCAATCCTGTACTATGTTGCCTCGATCCTCAGTTTCCCCATCTCAGCCCCAGCTAATTCTCAGCTAGACAGCTGGTTCTCTGCTGAACACAATTTCTTCAACAATCAGCACCTGGTGTGATTGTTCCATGACTGGGTGGTATAATAGAGACAAGACTGCTCTGCCAACCAGGGACGTGGCCAAACCTCCTCCCTCACAGCTGAAATGGCTCAGCTTCTTCACCAAGTGACAGGTCTACCTGGTCTTCATTCCTCATGACTCTTACACCAGAATTGTTAAGATACTCATCAGATTGTGTTCACTTCCAGGGAGTACCCAACCCAGAACAGGGTCCCTGCTTCCCTACTGCCCTCAAGCTTGCTTAGCGCCCTCTCACCAGGCACCACCACAGGTCTCCTTGCTACGCGGATACCCTCACTGTGGCCAATTAATATGCCCAATTTCATTGACTACAAATGTGTTCTTGGCCAGTGCTGGACATTGGGCTTTTTTATTGTTTTTTTCCCAAAGATCATAGCTGAAAACTGTCTGCTGCTATGTGGGATGGAAACACATTCCTTTTTGAACAGCTAAATCTTAAATAGAAAAAAGTAACACACCAAGCGCCTTCCTTCTCACTGGTGAGAGCAGTGCTGAGTTTGTGGGTGCCAGGTTCCTTAGATCCCACCATAGCTAAACCCAAAGCAAAAGTGTACCTCAACTCTACTCTGGAGGTGGAAGGTGGTGGTCTGGGCACTCAGATGAGATCATCCTCTCCATTTCCCTTATTTTACAGATAAGAAAGCCTCGAGCCAGAGAAGAGAGATTTGTCCAAAGTTACAGAATCCAAGTCCAGAAATGGAATGAAATTCTTAACCAAAGATGGCCATCAAAGTACAGAAACATAGAAGTGGATGGATCAAATGGAACCTGAAGATGATTTCTGAACTGTTAGATGATGAGGAAATTTTACTAATTTATCTGCTATTACTATTATATATTTTGCTTTGGCCACTTTGTTTAGATTTGTGTCTTGGCAACCTGAAGAACTACAACAATTCCAAAAGGGGACTCTGTCATGCATTCCTGGTTGATGTCGTATCTGGCTTCCCCTCCTGGAACTTTCCATATGCTGAATTATCCCTATCATATGACACCTTCTGTGTCTCCAGCACCTAGGGATGACTTCCTGTTGTCATTTCCCATCCTATCTCACACATCCTACTTCTCACAATATGAAGTCTAGAGCTGACCCAAACCCCTCCAGCTGTGTGCCCCCTGCTCTCCCAGGGCACAGTGCCCCGTACCAATCCTCCAGGCAAGCAGCCCAGCTCTACTGTGGAGTGGGGGAAGGAATGAGCTCCTCCCTTCACATACCAGTGATATCATTCCTTCCTCCTCCAGGAGGACCCATGGCTGTCACAAGCAGCACATCCACAATATCCAGCCTGGTTGTGTCTTTCTTGTCAAACCAGTAACCGTGGTCAATCCACTGTCTCAGGAGCTCGATGGGGGGCTGGGCCCCATACACCTCTTTGGCCGGCATGTTGAGGTCATCTGTAGAAGGAAGCACAGCCGCACATTATTAAGTCTGTGGGTCCTCTTCTCTCACAGGAGGTGACAGATGACAATTCCCTCCACAGAAAAATTGATGCCCAGCTGTCCCATTCCCCCTCCAGGCAGGGCTGGGTCACTGGACATCCAGGCCAGATGGGAAGGGGTTTCCTGTGTTCTGGACTCTCCTGCCTTGTTGAAATTTCTGCCCATTGTGGTTATAGAACTGGCATCAGCAACAAGGTATTTAATTTTTCTCAACCAAAATATATTGATGGCCCACTATATTTTGTTAATTGCTGGAGATATGAAGGTAAGGAAGATAGTCAAACTCCCAGCCAACAGGTTTTTTGTTTGTTTTGTTTTGTTTTGACTTTGAGATAGGATCTTGCTATGTGGTCCCGCATGGCCTTCAAATTCTGGACTCAAACAATCCTCCTGCCTCAGCTTCCCAAGTAGCTGGGACAGGCAGTCACCACCATGTCCAGTATATATAATATATATACATATACATATATATATTTGGTGGTGGTGCTGGGAATTGAACCCAGGGTCTTGTACATTCTAAGCACACACTTCACCACTGAGTTACAACACAGTCCCCAATAGAAGAACTTAATTTGACCAATAGGTAATAATAGTTGAACTCCAGTGGGAGCAAAGATTTTTTGATGAGTGAAACCAAAATAGCAAGAGTAGACTACAGGCTTCTGTAAGGGCAGGGATGACATTTCCTCCAATAGCATGCTGCTCAATCCTGGCATACTGGAGCCACTCAGTAAGACAGAAGCTTTTTAAATGTTTCCTCAACAAACATTGGTAGAATGCCCAATTGTGACAGGTAACGTTTTAGGAATTTTACATTCATGACCTCATCTAATCTAAATAATGACTTTAAAGGAAGATAGTATTACCTCTACATTAATAGTAAGGAACTGATTAGGGTCAGAGAGCTTAAGTTACACTACGCCTAGTTAAAAAGTGATATTTGAACCCAGATATGTTTAGGTGCAAAGCTTAAACTGTTTTTGGATACATAATAAAAACAGGGAGAGAATGGTGTGGTGGCACACACCTGTAATCCCAGTGGCTTGGGAGGCTGAGGCAGGAGGATTGTGAGTTCAAAGCCAGCCTCAGCAAAAAAGCGAGGCACCAAGCAACTCAGTGAGACCCTGTCTAAGAAAAAGTACAAAAAAGGGCTGGGGATGTGGCTCAGTGGTTGAGTGTCCCCAAGTTCAATCCCCAGTACCCCTCAAAAGAAATAGGGAGGGAGAAACTGGGTACCACAGCACACACCTATAATCCCAGGACCCGGGAGGTTGAGGTAGGAGGATTGCAAGCTTGAGGCCATCCTTGGCAACTTAGAAAGGCTCTAAGAAACTCAGTGAGATCCTGTCTCAAAATAAAAAAGTAAAATAAAATAAAAAAGGCTTAGGATAAAGCTCCCCAGCATTAAATCTCTAGTAACCCCCCCAAAATTAGGGAGGGAGACTCAGATACATGAAAGAAAAGAAAGGAAAAATAAGAAAGGGGCTAGGGATGTAGCTCAGTGGAAAAGCACTTGCCTAGCATGCACGAGGCCCTGGGTTCCATTCCCAGAACCCAAAAACAAGAAAAAGAAGAAGGAAAAGAAAAAGGATCTCTCTCCTTTAAGGAATTGATGTTAGTTGACAAGAATATAAATACATGCAATGTGAGTTTACAGAGGATAACCCAGAAGAGTATGGTATTCTAGAACCCTATGAATCAGCAGTCAGACAAAAAATGTGTTAGGCACCAAGAAACCTCGGTTTGTACCATGGCGCTAGAATTTTTTAGACGTTTGATCCTGAACAGGAAATTTAACCCCTTGGAGCCTCAATTAACTCAAGTAAAATTATGATGATGATTAATAACTTCACAGGGTTATAAGGCTCAAATAAAATAAATGAAAGAGTTTTGTAAAGAGGTAAAGCCCTGAGAAAATTCAGTGTTCTTATTTCACAAATATTTACTTGACATTTACCGGTAACATAAGTTATCTGATACAAAATGGAACAAGGGTTTTGTCTCAAAGTGTATATTGCTTCTAGAGATGTCAGAGGGCAAACACCACAGTTCCTTCTAGAACTACTTACTCATGGAGGGGAGGAAAGTGGGAAGGAAGGAAGGAGAGAGGAAGGGAATGGAGGGAATACTAAATTATACAAACTAGAAATTTTTATCTTCTAGAAAAAGTCAAAAGACCGTACAGCGGCCCCTCAAGGGGACGCTCTGGTTTGCTGCCGCCTGGGGAGGAAGAACCCGGACATGTCCTTACCCACAAACACCACTGCTTTCTTCCCCATGGGAGGCCCGAAAAGGCCCTTCCGCCGTCGATCCAGCTTGGACATGATGATGTCCTGGGTTTGATTGGCTGAAGTTCTGGCAGAGAAATTGATAAAGTTGGGCAGGTAGGTATTTTTGGGAAGGTGAAGGAGGAAGTTGTTTGTGATGGCTGATTTGCCAGTGCCGGTAGGACCCACAAACAGCGTCGGAATTTCATGGTGCAAGTAGGTTTTCAAGAAGAAGGACTGCCGGGCCGTCTCCATTGTGGGGATGATGAGTTCTGAGACCTGTACCACAAAGACAGGGAGAATCTTGGCCCCAGGTCCAGGGGGCTGAGACTTGGCATGCTAGGACCTGGGTTTGAATTTTAGCTCTGTCCTTAGTATCTTTATGACCCTGAGTATTTAACCTCTTCAATATCCTCCATCCCTTCATCTTTGAAAGAGGGATAATACACAGGGTTGGTTTGAGATTTAAATGAGACCATGCATGTAAAGATGAGAATTATTGTCCTTGTTTTATAGACAAGGAAACTGAGGCCCAAGAACCCTTTGTAATTTGCCCAAGTAACACAGTAAGTAGAAATGCAGGGATTCAGATCCCAGCTTGAGTAGATTTCAAAGACTGCAAAGTCCCAAGTGGAATCTAAGGGCTCCATCTTGGGCTCCTGGAATCCCTATTTCTTTGGGAAGAACATCTTACCCTCAGCTTAGCTTCTCTGAGCCTGAACCTTGTCATTGGTCATTTGACCAATCTAGTCCCTCCATGGGGGCAGAAGAGGAGGCAGGGAGATGCATATTATACATGGAAGTCTGTTTGTATGTCTGGGCTGAGAGGGATTCATGGCTTGGGCTGCTTTGCATATAACTCTGGGGAGTACCTGTCACACTGTGGTTTGTGTCAAAGCCAAACTAGTTTAGACTTATGCCACCCAAGTCTATGCAATTTGGAAGCCTTTGTAGACAAAATCTTTGCTTCTTTTGAGAAGCAATTTGGCCAAAAAAAAAGAGAAGATGGGGCAAGGTGGTTAAAGTGGAGAAGAGAAATCACAGGGGTTAAACTCTGGATATCTTGTCTGCATTACCGGCGGAAGTCCTCCCAGTAACCCTCTGAGGCAGGGGTTATAATAATGTAGATGAAAAAACTGAAGTCCAAGAAAGCTGGCTAACTGGGTGGAAGCTACTTAGCTAGAAAGTAAAGCTCAATGCCTATTTTTCAATCAAGACTGGAAATTTAAAACAAGTTGGGTTTCATAATATTTTATTTTCAGGGACTACATCAATAGTTTGCAAGGGAAAATTCCCAGAAGAATTGAAATTATTTTCTACACTGGACTCTTGTCTGTATGAATTCAGCTAGATTTCAAATCCCTAGAGTTCAGGTACCCAAGCTCTGTCCTGAAGCCGGCACTCACTCGCCCACTTAAGGCATCCTGAACACATTGAGCATGGTTGGTCCCACTTGGCTTCTACCTGGGTTGTCCATGTTCCCAGTTTCCCATCCACTGCCCACCACTGCACCCAGGGTCTGAAAGATCTGCACTCACCCCAGAAAGATAAATTATATCCACTAGATGCCACCAACAGGCATGAAAGTGCACACCTGTACAAAGTTTCAAAAGGCATGAAATGAACAGGGTTATAGGTGAATTACCTACTACCTAGAAAAAAAAAATCTATTAATGAGAAACTACTTTTCTGCTGATCAAGAAAATCGAAAATCTCTTTCTGAAGGTTTTAAAGATATTTTGTGGGGGCTCAGGTGACTCAGAGGTGAACCACATGGGATTATTGGTAACGACAATAATGAGAATAGCAACAAATATTCATCTAACCCCTAGTATGTGCCACATGCTCATGTATTTTGCCTTCAAATTTTGCAATCATTTAAATGTTTCTTTTTATTCCATTTTATGGTTGAATAAAGGGAGGCAGAGAGTGAAGGCTGAGTAAGGAACATAGGTCTCTCTGATTCTAAAGTCTGTGCTTTCTTGAAGCTTGATGCAACTCATGTTGGAATCTTTTATTGAAAGAAGCTTTAAAAAATGCCCACAAAGAAATGCTAATTCCTCTAGCCAGGAGGATATCTGGGTAATTCAGGGAAGCCACAATTCTATAACCAATGCTTTTCTTTTACCTTTGCACCAGCGGGGATAATTTCCTCCTGTTTGGTGATGTACTCTGTCCAGGCTTCCCAATGTCCACTACCTTGTTTGAAGAAATAAAAATCATAGATGCTTCCTGGATCCAAAGAAAGAGAACAGGATATTAGTTTACCAAGGATTCCCATTTCCCATTTCGATGTACCTCAGCTATAACAATCAAAATGTGTAACAACCAGTGTTGGCATAACTGTGGTCAGACTTACACATTGCTGTCACCTGTACAAACTAAAGCAACACTTTTTAAAGAATGGTGATTTTATTTAAAAATAAGTGTTGACCATGCAAGTTACTAAATTATTTTTAATAATATCCATAGCAAGGACTAAAAATGAAAATTAAAAAGGCAATAAATCATTCCAAATTCCATATCCAGAAATAACTCTTGATGGCAATCCTTTGGCTCTCTTCTTAGGCACACTAACATGTTGAAGAGGGAAGGACAGAAAGATGAGAGGGAAGTATTTTATAAGCATGGAAACATGACAAAATTTTAAATAAAGATGAGAAATTTAATTTCACTTAAATCTAGCAGAGGAAAATATTGGAATAAAACAGATGCCTCCACTGAACTTTATACACATCATTATTCACTATCAGGATATCGGTTCCTAAAAGGTGTTTCTTAATTAAAAAAATAATTTTCAAGCCTTTGCAGAGTTAAAGTCATTATGCTTTTAAAAAATCATCTACTCTGATTTTGTTACTTTGTGTTTTATCTTTTTGTTGTGAAAAAATTGAAATGCACGAAAATAAAGAGAATGGTGTAATACACCATCAAGTGTCATCCTCCTGTTTCAATTATTAATGTTTTGCAATTCTTGCTTCATCCATTTCCACTTTACCAAGGGCCACCATATTCATCTGCCTTCCTCATCGCCTTTTCTCTTCCCTTCTTCCCTTCTTTCTTGGTGTGAACTTTTTAAAAGCAAATCCTGACATCATATTCAATTTTTAGGCCAGTTTCATCCATTTCTTTATGAAATGAGAGGTAGTCAACATTCCCTCTTCCTTCACCCTCTCCTTCCCTGGCTCTTATTACTCATGCACAATTCCTTCTTTGTCAGGGTTTACAACATTCATGTTTTGATTGCAACCTTAATTCTGCCATTCCTTAGTTTTAGATCTATACAGTCTTTAAATAATTCAGTGCTCAGAATCACGTCTTTTAACAGGAACATTTCAGAGTTCTTTGTTTTGACTAATTCTTTAGTTGGCTGATTTGATTTTTTTTTTTTCAATAAGAGGCTTATGGCTGCTCACTTCTCTCAGTCTTTACACGTTTGAGAACTCTGTCTGCTGCTGTTATATTTTAACAGAGATTTGGCTGAGAGTAATATTCATGTCACATTTTCTTTCTGAATTTTACATAATTCATTCTGTTTTGTTGCATTTTAAGTTATGAGCAGAAGTTGAGGCCTGTCAAATATTTTTCTTTTGACTCTTTTTTAAAATCTAGTTGCCTGATGAAATCTATTTTAACCTGAAAAATCTTATAATTTAATTAAGTTGTCTTTTTGGCCAATTATTCTGTATCAGTTTTTCTTAGAATGCAGCAAACCCCTATAATTTATAGAAGTAGTTCTTCATTTTAGGAAAAGTTTTTGCATTTATCTCTTTGTATATAGTGTCTGTTGTAATTATTGTGTTTGCAACTTTAGGAATTAACATTTTTTTCATTTCCATATTGACCATAGTCTGTTTCACTATTTTTATCATTTTCTTCTATAGCATGTATAATTATATCAAACTTTTCCCCTAAGCCATTTATTAGAAGCCTAACTTTGTACATTTTATTTCTCGCTGGATATAGTTTACTTAACAGTATTATTTGATTCTCACGTTCTTTGATTCTTCAGTTCCTCTTTTATCATTCCTTACAAAATTTTCTGTGCTTTATTGAAACATAATTCACATACCATGTAATTGAACTCTTTCAAATATAGAATTCAATGGTTTACTAAAAGTTTCTGTATGTGGGGTATGATAAATATCCAAAGAGTTGTGAGATAATGACCATAATACATGTTAGAATTCTTCACCGCATCAAAAAGAAACCTCATAATTCTCAGCCATCAATGGAGTTTTGAGATGAAAGTTGAGTTTCTGCTTCTACTGGCAGGTGGATCTGCATAAACTATAGGTCTGGGTAGCTGACAAATGTGGGGCACGCCCTCTAGTGTCGCAGCAGACCCCAGGGGCTCACCATCAATTTCTTCTTCCTTGATTCTTGTCTTGTGAATTTGAAGAATGAAATCCACAGACCAGGATGAGCAAGTGTTTGAGAGAAGAAATTATTGAGGAAAAGAAACAGAATTCTGGCAGGAGAAAGAGGGATATGATAGCACCCTTTTGCATCCCAAATGTGCTAGGCTAGAGGTTTATATAGCACTTGGATTACTGCTATTGGTCCAAACTTCCACTAATTAGGGTTTGAAAAAACTACCAATCCTATTGGTCCAAACTTATGCTAATTAGGGTTTGGAAATGTACTACCCATTATCGGTCAATTCGTGAGTCCCAACTCTCATTCAAATCTGCCCCACTTCCATGTTCTTGTGGCAAGTCAGGAAGCAGGAGTTGAGGTCGTGGGATGAGAGTTGAGCCTCAGCCCCGCCAGGCAATGTCAGGCTCCAGGCAGCTGGCCCACCTGTTCTTGCCTTGGGCCAGTAGGCTGGCCGAGAGGCTTTGCCTCTGGGAAGCCATGTCACTATCCTCTGCTGCCCTGCACTAGACAACCACTTCATCTACTTTCGGTCCTTATAGATTTACCTGTTCTGCACATTTAATATAAATAGATCACACAGCATGTGCTCTTTTTGTGACTGGATTCTTTCACTTATCATAATGTTTTTAAGGTTCATCCAAGTTGTAGCATATATACAACACTTCACTACTTGAAATTGCCAAGCAGTACTCTATTATATGGATATATCTTATTTAACCATTTATCAGTTGGTGGACATTTGGATTCTGTTTAATTTTGAGAAAATGCCAAGTGCTCTTTTCCAAGATTGCTGCACCACTTTAAATCCCCATTATAGTATGAGAGGTTTCCAGTTTTCCTATGTCCTCACCAACACTTGTTTTCCATCTTTTTATTATACCCATCCTAGCTGCTGTGAAGTAGTATCTCATTTTAGTTTTAATTTGAACTTTCCTGATAGCTAATAATGTTGAGCATCTTGCCATGTGTTTATTGGCCCCTTGGAGAATTGTCAATTCAGGTACTTTGCCCATTTTCAAGTTGGGTTATTTGTCTTTTGAAGTTGAAGTACTTCTTTATATAGTTTACATACGAATCCCTCATAAGATATAGAATTTGATATAAAAATCACCCAATTCTTGATTATCTTTTTATTTGAAATTGTCCTTTGAAATACAAAAGTTCCTAATTTTGATGGTGTCTGGTTTGTCTATTTTTTTCTTTTTTGATGTTGATTTTAGTGTCCTAAGAAATCACTGCCTAATTCAAAGTTGCAAAAATTTGCATCTGTTTACTTCTAAGAATTGCATAGCTTTAACCCTTAGATATATGCCTTTGGTATATTTTGAGTACATTTTTGGTTTTGGTGTGAAGTAGAGGTCCAAATTCATTCCTTTACATGTGTAATTCAGTTGTTCTAGCATCCTTTGTTGAAAAGATTATTCTTTTCCCATTTAATTACCTAGGTAGCATTGTCAAAATTTAAGTCAAATAAATATGAAGGTTTTTTAACTTTCAATTCTATCCAGTTAATCTGCATACCTATTTTTTTTTATCAGTATCCCATACTAGTCAACAGGAAATATTTTCTGTTTCTTGGGTTATATTTTCTTTTATTCTTAAATTATGTTTTAATTATAACTATATATAAAAGTGGGTTCATTCTGACATATTCACATGTGCACATAATATGCTCCATTTCTTTCCCTAGTACCTCCCCTTTCCCTTTCCTTCTCTTTCCCCCTACTCCCTTCCTCAATTCTATTGGTCTTTGGGTTATTTTTTTCTATTAGACATTCTCTCTGTCTCTTTCATTTGCACAAATGCCATACCTTTCTTACTTGGATATAATCAGGTAAATTCTTCCTATGTTTACCCAACAATATCTGGGACAAGATTATCTTAGCTATTTCTTCGCCACAGTTCAAGCACCAGCATGTGGCTTTCTTTTCCCTAGCCTCAGGCTGCAAGGATTGAGTAAAAAGAGTTGCTATTCCTGGGACATTTGGGCTCTTCATTCTTTCTCTGAAATTTAGTCAACTTCCCTAAACCGTGAACCCATCTCACCCCATCCTAGCTAGCAACATGTGCTCCACTCCTGTGGGATTGAACTCTCATCCCCATCCAGCCCACGATTCTGCAAGATGCAAATCGTAGTAGTTTTTCTGGCCCCACTGAGGTGCTACAGCATCATGCAGGGGCTTCTGTGATTGAGAGTTCTCTCAGATCTCTTGTAGCTGCCCATCACCGTCACAGCACAGTTCTCTGTCCTCCATGTTGGTGATTGCCAGTGAGAACAATCCACCTGTTTTCCTTTCTACAATACCATTAGCAGTTCATTGAGGTGGCAGGTTCTGAACTGAGAGATGCATCATACACCAGTTTTTTTTTTCTCTCTGTCCATAATTTATTTGCTTATTTCTGGGGAATTTTTAGGATCGATTTGTTGTCAATTCAATTAGGTATAAAAGAAGGGAGCTTCTGTTATTCTACGTCACTCTGCAGCTTTACCTAGAAGTCAATCTGGTACACTTTTAGAAAGCAATCTGGCACTACGCTTACAGAGCTAAAAATGTCCTCTACTCTAAGACAGAAATCCCGTTTCCGGAGATTTATCACAAGGAAACAATTCACAATGAAAATAATCTGTATACATGAGTATTCAACACCATCTGTGATGGCAAAGAAATAACTTACATGTTCTACATTGGGAGATCAGTAAAAATTTGTCTTATGAGATGGATGGAATGTTTTTCAGTCATTAAAATGAACATTACAAAAACTAACATTAACATAGAAAATGTTTTTAAGAAGCAATGTCAGATAAACATGGGTATATGCCATTATGGCAATGATATAAGAAGATGAAAGCA